TCGGCCCTTCAAATGAATCCGAAAAATTCTTATTCCCAATATTTGTTGAGTTCTGCTTTGAGCAATTCCCCGATGAAATCAGAAGATTTAGGTCTATGGTTGAGTCAGCAGATTTAACAAAACCACACACTTGGTTCCCATTCGCCAGGGCAATGAAACGCAAGATCATATATCATTGCGGACCCACCAATAGTGGCAAAACATATAACGCTTTACAGAGGTTCATGGAAGCGAAAAAGGGAATCTACTGCAGTCCGCTAAGGTTGTTAGCTATGGAAGTTTTTGATAAAGTCAACTCTCTAGGTGTTTATTGTAGCCTTCTTACCGGTCAAGAGATGAAATCTGTGCCGTTCTCTAACCACGTTGCATGTACTGTCGAGATGGTTTCTACAGATGAGTTATATGATGTGGCAGTTGTTGATGAGATTCAAATGATGGCTGATTCTTGCAGAGGGTATGCATGGACAAGAGCTTTGCTTGGACTAAAGGCTGATGAGATACACTTGTGTGGAGATCCAAGTGTTTTGAGTATCGTAAGAAGAATCTGTTCTGAAACTGGGGATGAACTGGTGGAGAGAAATTATGAACGGTTCAAACCGTTAGTGGTTGAAGCTAAAACCCTTCTTGGTGATTTAAAGAATGTGAAATCCGGGGATTGTGTGGTTGCTTTTTCAAGGAGAGAAATATTTGAAGTTAAGTTGGCGATTGAGAAGTTCACGAAACACCGCTGTTGTATTATATATGGAGCATTGCCCCCCGAGACTCGGCAGCATCAGGCGACTTTGTTTAATGATCCGAATACGGAGTATGATGTTTTGGTGGCTAGTGATGCGGTGGGAATGGGATTGAATCTGAATATAAGAAGGGTTGTTTTTTATAATTTGTCAAAATATAATGGGGACAAAATTGTCCCTGTTCCGGCGTCACAGGTGAAACAGATTGCTGGAAGAGCAGGCCGAAGGGGAAGCCGGTTTCCAGAAGGACTGACAACCACTTTGCATCTTGAGGATTTGGAGTATTTGATTGAATGTTTAAAGAAACCTTTTGACGAAGTTAAGAAAGTTGGCCTATTTCCTTTCTTTGAACAGGTTGAACTATTTAATTCTCTATTATTTCAGTAAATTACGTTTGTTCCGTAAAGAATATACGACATACTTCGTATTATTTCTGTTTTGGTGGTGCAAACATTATGTCATACGTATAACAATTGATTCTTTTGTACTTACCAAGATGAAATTGATCATACAAAAAATATATTTTACTCTCCGTCGAACAGGTTGAACTGTTTGCCGGGCAGCTTCCAAACGCTACTTTTTCAGAACTTCTGGAAAATTTTGGAGCCAATTGCCGGTTAGATGATTCTTATTTCATGTGTAACCATAGCCACATAAAGAAAATAGCTAATATGCTGGAAAAAGTTTCTGGATTGTCTCTAGAAGACCGTTTCAACTTCTGTTTCGCGCCTGTTAACATCAGAGACCCGAAAGCAATGTACCATTTGTTAAGGTTTGCATCTTCATATGGGCAGAGCTTGCCCGTAAACATAGCAATGGGAATGCCCAAGTGTTCTGCTCGAAATGATTCTGAGCTTTTAGATCTGGAGACAAGACATCAAGTGTTGTCTACTTACATGTGGTTGTCCAATCACTTTAAGAAAGGGATGTTTCCGTACTTTCAGAGGGCAGAGGCAATGGCTGCGGGTGTTGCGGAGTTATTAGGGGAGTCTCTGACCAAGGCGTGCTGGAAGCCCGAATCAAGAACGGTTGGAAAACCTAGGGTGCACAAAGATACTGATAATAATAGGTATGCAATTCAAATTGCAGTCTTCAATATAATATGCCCCTACACATGTATATTTTAGAGAGATTTCTTTACTTCTATTTCAAGATTTTTTTCATGCATCTGTTTTGCGTACTTCCATATGTGTTTTCTTTTTGTAGGTCTCGCTCTTTAGGTGTACAAGAAAAAAGTCACAAAGAAGGGAAGATTGATGTTAGGGGATGTTAGGGGTGTATTGAATGAAGACGTATTTGTTGTTTTAAAGGTGATTCTTTACTTTCTTTCACGTGAAACTTTTTGTGGGTATCTCTTATCTTGAAGAGAAGATTTAAAAAACTATGCCTTGAAGATGTTTGTCAAAAGTCTTGAAAGATAACTTTTCTGCGTTTTTCCTTAATTTTCTTGATTTATTGGTTTGTTTTTCCACTTAGTTAGATTACAATTACAAAAGGTGCAACGGTAAATTTTCACGTGTGTGTATTGTTGTGCTCAAATACTTAGTAGTGGAATGGTCCTTGATACATTAAAAACTGATATTCAAGATATACGGAGTAATATTTCGTTTCATTCCTTGTCATGAAAATAAAATTTCATCTAGAGTGATTTTCAAGTTTCTGTGTGTTCTAATAGAATTTTATCTAGATATAATATACAATTTATCTAGATACATTTATTTCTGTGTGATGAATAATATACAATTTCTCTTGCATCTAGAACTTTACATGCACATAAAGTCTAACTTGGGACAAGATTGTTTGTATTCATTCTTAAAGAAATAAATGATTCAGTTTCACAATGAGCATGAGTGATTTTTCAAGCTTGAACTATACAATGATATAAAATAATTCACTTTTATGGTAAGGTATTACTTTCTGAGTGTGCAAGTGCTTGCCCATTATCAGGTCCTGAAATCCTATAAGCTTTAGGAGCTCTATTTTACTTTTATGCAAGGGACAAAGTGATAATGTACATTGCTAAACTAGTGAAGTGAATTGGAGTATTTCTATTTTCCAATGCTTATGTTGTTTGCAGTAACTAACTCCTTGTATTTACTTAATGTAGTTTGCAACAAACATTTAAATTTCTATCCTTCATTCAAATGTAGGCAAATATAAAACTGGATAAAAGTGTAGCTGGTGCTGCAACGGAAGTGTCAAAGGTCGTGCTTCACTGTGACACTGTTAGTGATGAACCAACAAAATTATTAAGACACGAAATTAAAGGCAGAAAGGGAGTTGTATATATGATAAGCTAAATGGTAAATAAGTGCCATTTGTTTTGTATATATAGTGCTCTCAAACAGGCTCATAGTCTGAAAGCAGTTTGAATTTGTGCCTTTTTATCGCAGACTTTGGTGCAATAGTGGGTGTATATTATTGTCTTTGTTTCTCTTTGTGAATATCGATTAGTGTGTTAATAGTATGTGGAGTTTGATTTTTACAGGTTCGTCTTTCTTCATTACAGAACTGGACGAGCGTTGCTAGAAATTTGCATAGCCATTAAGCAGATGGAGCGGATGGATTTGTACGAGCAGCAGAATGCAAAGTTAATTCATGGCTTTGGGTGATTGTTTTTCTGGAAGATGGGAAGTAGTTACTAATTTTATACACTTTTAGTGTCTTTAGGTAATGGAATATTGTGTAATAGCATGTTTCATGGCTTGATATTCAAAGCTACATGTTTCGATCATCTTTTACAATGACTAGAGCACATACATCTATAACAAATCCAGAATAACGGGCATGGAAACAAATGATTCTATGATTTTCTGGGATTAATTGTGTAGCGAACTATACATGAAACCGACCCTGATCTGGAAGCACCGAGTAGGTCAAACAACAAAAAGATGAGAACTGATTGTGCTGTTATAACAGTGCACTTCGAGTTAATAATTTGAGATGGAGAAGAGTAATTACTATAATCAGCCATGCTTCTGGTCTTCTGGATGTGAAAAGCTGTGATGATTTCTATATTCATTGGACAGTATTTGCAAAACTTTGCATTTGTATATTATTGCCGTATATAACTGAAGATGTAAGGGCCAAGAGATCTCCAGAAGGCGTGCAATTTCAAACAAAATACATGGGATGATGGGAGTGTTAATTTCTAACTTGTCTCCATCATCCCCATTTGTCACTTTTCTCCGAAATCATCTGGCATGAGCCGCTGAATGTCCCAGTTCAAATTCGTATCACTCAATTTCTAACCTGCGCCGAACATGCAAGGGGCTTAGCAACTTGTAGAAGATGTCTCCATCGAGAAATGTGACTTCTACCTCTCTGTTTGCTTGGAAATTGTTAGAGTTCAAATGCCTTCAGAAGAGCTCTTATTATGTCTTTGTTATCACCATTGTGACCACCTAAGCTGACAATATTTGCACTTTATAATGTCTTTGTTATGTAGTTTGTGGAAGAGAAAGACGGACACACTTGATAGAGAAAAGTCTGACAGAACAACCTAAGGGAATATGTGTTTAAGAAAACTAATTTACGGGATCAAAATTTAGAATACATTTTTATAACTTTACACATTTGTGTGTGTATATATGATTATATGTGCACCAGAGATATATTGGTCTTTTTAGTATTGTCGAATGAAAACAATGGCCAAGATTGAAGTTCTAGATTAATACTGTAATGGTGATTCTCGTCTTGTGGCAAGAAATATTTAGGTTTCGAGCAAATTGTAAAGCTCCATTTTTTTCGGGAAAACTATCAAATAAGTCCTCGAACTTACATAAAAAGATCAAATAAGTCCTTTTATAGGAAACTCTGTCTAGCTGTGTCGCCATTTGGGATGGTTTCCGGTGAAATTTTTTTAGAGTTTTATTCATTAAATCTAGTTTACTCATACCAACTTTCAGCTATTTAACTGCGCAGTTAAATAGCGCAGTATATTTCAGAAAATCATTTGACTGACTTCTCGGTTGAAGTTTTAGCTAAAATTTGGTATGGATAAAGATGCTCAAAAAATTTCATCAAAAAATTTCAATGGAAACCGTACCAAATGACGAAGGCCGGACAAAGCCTCCTATAAAAGAACTTATTTGCACTTTTTATGTAAGTTCGAGGGTTTATCTGATAGTTCTCCCATTTTTTTCTAATCGCTTTTTGCGACGAGTAACGATTGTGGTGTCTGCAAGTTGGATATGAGATTGGGGGCAAAGCCGTAGGCAATGGGGTTGTCATTAAGAGGATAATTAAGCAGGTTAAGTCACATTTTTTTAAAACGGAAACTATTATATTTTTTAATTAAATCTATGCAAAAACATAATACCACAAATATATTCACTGACAAACAACACTGCAACATGCCCATAGAAAAGGAATTTGAAATTGTAATTACAAGTGAAAACGGAATTTGGCCCATCAAGACGCGCAAATTTACAGAACTCTGAACAATCAGAGCAATTGTTAAACATCGGGCTTAAAGTCAGGCCCAAACCCATTAGAAGCCCGTAATTTGTCAACGTAGCTTCGAACCTCTTGCGCGATCATATGCTGCATGATACTTAAGAAACTCGTCCCGTCACCGGATACGTTACCCAACGGCTCCTCTTCCGCCGTTGACTTTTCACCGACGGGTTGACCGAAAGGATTTCCTCCCGGCGGGAACAATGACAGTAAAGTCGCCGGTGCATCTCCGCGGCGCAGCTCGCCGTCCTCAACGCCCCCACCGCTTCTACTGTACTCCTGCGACGCACAGGATTCCTCCCTCTTCACCGCGGACTGTGACTCGGCCGACGAATCGTCCACAAGCGCCCGTTTAGCGGCAGCCGCCTCCAACGCGCCGCCCCCGGCGGTGCGCTTTCGCCGGAGCGTGGAGTTCCAGTGGTTTTTAATCGCGTTATCCGTCCTCCCGGGCAAGAGTTTCGCGATGGCGGCCCATTTGTTGCCGTGAACAGAGTGCGCGCGCCGGATGACGGTGTCTTCCTCCGGCGAGAAGGGGCGGTGGTGCACGGACGGGCAGAGCTGATTGCACCACCGGAGACGGCAGGACTTGCCGGAGCGTGAAGGTATTCCGGTGCTGATTAGGGACCAGTTACGCGGGCCGTGTTGCTCCACCAGCTTCACGAGAATTGCGTCTTCTTCTGGAGTCCATGAACCCTTCACCTTACCTCTTCCGCCGCCTATCTCCGCCATTGCCAAGTAATTAACCAATTAATCAATAATTAAATAATTTATCCTCTTTGAATTGCTAATCAGGATTAAATGTATATATATGATTATATAGATTTAGAATGGATAGATATAGAATGGGTAGGGTTTAGCAGGTTAGGGGAGAGATGGATATGTAACAGAAAGGAAGAAGGGGTAGTTGGCATGAACCGTAAACTGCTCACGCATTGACGAAACCGTTTAATTAATTAATTAATTAATTAATTAATTAATTTGTTTTTGGTTGTTACTTGTTAGTTGGATGATTGGATCGCTTGTTAGTTGTTGATTTAGACATTTACCACCTAATAAAGTACTCTGATTTCCCACTTTTGAAAAAAAATGTATTCTAATTCTCCATCTAGGAGACAATTGACATGTTGTTAGGGATGTACTTAGGATAGAAGATTTTTTTCAGATAAATTTTTATACTTCAATTTTTATGTTAAAAATACAAACATTTATCAAATTTGAGGTGGGGTGGGACCAGGTTACCTCCCTCTACCTCCACCCCTACATGGTACTTTTCTTACGTTTAAACTTTTAAACGTTTAAAAGTTTAAAGAAAAAGCATTGTGAATCATTTCTCTTTGTTCACGATTTTATTACTAAACGTTTAAACTTCTTACGTATATAAAATTAATGTGAGAATTTAAAGAAAAAGCATTGTGAATCATTTTTTTCACCTAAGTGAAATATTACTATCTCCATCCTATTTTATGTGTCTCAGTTTGACTTGACACGATTATTAATAAAGTGATTGAAAAAGTAAAAATTGTTGTTGAGATTTGAGTATAATAAAGTGAAATGGTCTAGTTCACATATTTCTATCCAAAAAAAGGAAAGGAGCCCCTTATTTTGACACAATCCAAAAAGAAAAGTAAAACAGATAAAATGAGATGGAGGGAGTACTATTTTGAGAGGGTAGAGTAAACTGTTATCGTTATTATTGTCATCGTTAGCACCTAGGGGGTCACTATTTGATGAAATGGATAAGTAACGGCTTCCGTTACAACAACGAAACGCGAGAAGCGTTATATGACAAAATGGTTGAGATTACGACTTTCCAACCGTTCAAATTTGCTTTCATGGTCTTCATTAACACCTGTGATATGAATACACACCTGGTGATATGGAGACAAATAAAGAAACGGATTATTGTCAAAAATATTTTAGGTAAATATAATTACCAAAATATATTTCCATCATTTTCAATGTAGCTAAAGATTCACTATTTTTTGGCTTGGAAATATGATGGAATAAAATAAAATGATTCACTAAACTGTCTGTGCTTCTTTGTTATGAAGTAACAGTCAGTCTATGCAATTTTCGACGCGATTTTCACTATGATTCATTCAGAAACAATCTCTCTGTGCTTTAGTACAGGGGGTACTGCGTACATCCGACACCTCTTACCCCACCGTAGGTGGGGAGCTTTTGCAGCACTGGGGTAAGTAATGATAATGAATGAATGAATGAATAATTACCAAAATACAAATAGTAAACCCAAGGATGTTTAGGTAAACACCAATCTACCCGTAAATATAGTTTAATTGAAATCAATTGGAAAATCGCATAAAAAATTGGAGATTGTAATTACTCAAAATATTTTGCCTTCAATAATGTGAGGAAATAGCTTTATTTTTTAAATGTGTGAAGAAATAACATGTTTTTTTAAATAACTTCTTACGTATATAAATAGCGAGTCGATCCCGGGCCGAAGCATTGTTTTGGACCGGGCAATCTCGACCTGGAATTAGGATCAGACCGACTCGATCCCATCCGTAGCAATAACCACTTCTATTTTTTGGTGTTACAAAACTAAGCTTCTATTTCTGTTTTTGATACAAAAATTGAGGGGGGAAGAATAGAAAACATACTTGTGCTTGAACCCGTTTTTAAATAGGGTCCTGTGTTTCATTCCTTTACAAAGTAAGTCATATACTCATATGTTTCATTTCATATAAATCGTTGGAGGAAAACGATGAACACCAAGTCCGATTTTAAAAAATCCACGAAAAATTAAAATAAAAATTCTGAAATTCGTGTCTAATCAAAGAGACCTCCAAACCATCTTCCTCTTTGGATATTTCGGATTTATTTCGATTATTTTAAAAAAAACGAATTCATTAATATTCACTTTTTCGGTGGACTTTCCAGCGACAAAGGTAGGGTTGGACTCGGGCCGGGCCAACCGACACGGAACCTGACCGGCACGCTACTGTGCGGGCCCGGACCGGCCCAGTGAACCGGTTGGTTGGTCAGCTCGGGCCACCCGGCTCGGTGGGATGGCGATTCGGGCTCAGGCCCTTCAAAAGGTGAACCGGCCCGGCCGATTCGGGACCGGGCCGGGCTAATTTATATATTATTTTTGAATTTTTTTAAATTTTCGGGTTGGGCTGGATATTTTGGACCATTTGAGGTGGTTAGGGTTGGTTTGGGGTGAGGGGGGGGGGGGGGGGGATTGAGGGTTAACTAGGAAAAGCCAAAAAAAAATAGAACGGAGGCCCGACCCAGCTCGAACCCGGGGGTTTCCCGGACCGGTTTCGGGCCTCCCCTTCATGAACCGAGGCTTGGTCGGGCTCAGGCCCAAACCGGAACCGGTCCATCCCTAGACAAGGGTTACTGGAAACAAAAAAAGAAAGATGTCATGGAGGTCGCCTTGATGAGGTGCGCCTAGGAGTGGACTCGGGCCGGGCCAACCGGCCCGGTGAACCGGTTGGTGCCCGGTTCAGATCACCCGGCCCGGTGAGGTAGGCAGGCCGGGCCCGGGCCTCCTAAATCATGAACCGGCCCGGCCGGTTCGGGCCCGGTCTGGGCCAAATTCTTTTTTTTTTTTTTTTTTTTTGAATTTTTTTTAAGTTTTTGGGTTGGGCTGGGTTTGATGGGCCATTTGAGGTGGTTTGGGGTGAGGGGGGGGGGGGGGGGGGGTTAGGGGTTAATTAGGAAAAGTCAAAAAAAAAATAAAAGAATTGAGGCCCGGACCGGACCTGGGTTACCCGGGCCGATTCCGGGCCTCCCCTTTCATGAACCGAGGCCCGGCCCGGCCCGGCCCGAACCGGAACTGGTCCACCCCTAGGTGCGCCTCCCACTAATTTTTTATTTCAATTTTTTGATCACTTTTGAAAATCGAAGTTACTAGTCATCGTCTTTTTTTGACAATTTGTAACGGAAATGAAACATACGAACTACTTTTTTAATAATTGCAACATATAACTCTATATGAAAATAGGATCAACCACAGACACCTTTTTCTTACTTTTCCCAAAACTATAAGAATAAAAGTACATTATTATTTATTAATATTCTCTTATATGTTTTAGGAACGACATAATTAAAAAGTTAATAAAAAGGGAGCATCTCCGACTATATTCATTGTATACGGTGATTAGAGAGACTCCCGCTTCTCTCTAGGGTGGGTTTCCGCCGCAAGGGTTTGTTCCTCAGCTATCATTTGTAATGAGGAGCGACCGTCGCGAGCGGGCTTAAACGTTTAGGATGTCTTCTTCCGCCATCAATTGTTCAGCTTTTGTAGTCTTCTTTTGATTTGGCGAGATTAAGGCATTAAGCGGAGGGAAGAGGATGCTTCGTCTCAAGCAACCAAAAGTCGTGGACGAAGCATGAGGCTGCTCAAGGCTGGATAAGATCTGGATTCAAGATCATACGTGATAGGTGGTGCCAGATGAGGTTTGGTAGAGAACATGATGAACAAAAGGCGTGACAAGGAAGCAGCTATAGTACTACTGAATAGTCCCTCTCCCGAACCACACAAACTCATATATGGTGGGTGTTTAGATCTACTTCTAATGTCTTTACTCTTTACTCCTTCAGGGACCAGAAACAAAAAAAGGAGTATTTGGGTGAAACTACAAAAGTACTTTTGGATGCACCAAATTGCTCCTAGAAGCAATATTTTAGAAGCTTGGGAAAACCAGCTTCTGAAAAAGAAGCAGAAACATAATTAGTTCCAAATACCCTTATATTGCCTCCTACAATTATATATTCATTCAAACGAGAACCTTTTTAAGCGGGACATTAGAGAGTGATGTGCGAACGCCTGCTATTGCAAGTCACTAAACAAATACTTTTTCATTTTTAAGATTGTGCACAAGGCTAATTTTTCCCTTGAAAAACAAGATTTATACTACGTATCTACTTCACTGGATAGGTTCAACACTCAAGAGGATTGAAAATAAAACATATGGTTGTACAAATTTCGTGACATAATTGTGTGGAAGGCAAATCAATTAAAAAAGTGTGGGGTGAACATCTGGTAACAAGCATAGTATACCATAAATGCCCGTAATCTTCATATCATTAGAGAATAATTTCATGTGGAAATGATGGATTACAGATTACAGCAATTAATGTAAAAATTATGTTACCTAGTGCTTATGATTCCTTGTTCTTGAAATAGAGCAAAACTTTTCACGAAGCTTATTGACCAAGATGTAATTCTTTAGCACATTCAATCAGCATGTTCGCGGAAGCGTATAATTTTCAAGATGAAAGGCCTCTCCTTTTGATAGCTGATCATAAAAATCATCATAAATATAATTAGTCAATCAATAGAAGGGCACATCAAGTACAACGTGTGTCCGTTTGCATACACACACGTATATAGAGCCCAATTTTAAAAAAAAACGGGTGTTCCCATGAAAGTGCGAACGAATCCACTTTTAATCGTACCTAGCACACTTACTCACTTTCCATTTTTGATCATATATAGCCCACTACTCACTTTCTGCTTTTGATTATATATAGCATACTACTGCATTCAGGAAGTGTACTTTTTGCAAGGAAAGAAACACTTTAAATTATTTCGAGAAATGTAACAGCATTTTTAATTTAAGTTGATGCATTTTAAACATATTTGAGCCATTGTATCATGAATCTGATGCACCAAATTTATTCTTAGGGGGTGTTTGGATCTGATTCTTAAAACTGATTATGCTCCTTCAGGGAGTGTTGGAGTGGAAGTGCAGAAGTACTTCTGATGCCCTAATTTACTCCCAGAATCATATTTTTATAAGCTGAGGGAGACCAGCTTCTGAAAACTAATTCTGCCTTTGCTTTAAAAAAGAATCAATTCCAAACACCCCCTTATTTCTAATGAGTGACTTTTTATTTGATCCAAAATCTACATGCACATACATAATACATATTATATATATATATAGAGAGAGAGATATACACAGGCACACATACATATGTATATATACACACACATATATACACAAGCACACATACATATGTATATATACATATACACAAGCACACATACATATGTATATATACAGTCACGGACACATATATACACAGGGACACATACATATGTATATATATACACACAGACAAATTTATGCACAAACACATATATACACACACATATGCATTATATGTATACACTCTTTCCCCAAAGGTCTAGACTCAAATAGAAGAGTACATTGACATCCAATAACTAAAAAGAAATGCATAAAATGATACTCACATTATGAAAGCGGCCACAAGAAAACAGAATAAACCAAATGAGAAGTGAACGGTGAAGGTGGCCGAGAAGCTGTCTCGGTTAAGGTACATCTTTTCAACTATGAAGGTGGCTACTCCTGAAACCAACACAAATTCATAACCTCCGGGCATGCAAGCTCTAAACGCAAAGGATGATGATTCCTGTGGCAATTCTAAAATGTCAAAGAAATAATCAAAACTATTATTTTGTACGCATTAATAATATCAGAGCTGTGCTACCTTGAAATACTTTTTGATGAAAACCGCTGAGTAAACTATCCTGAAGATCATATCTATTGCAGTCAAAGATGGCAAGAAGCATAGACTATATGGACCGTCAGATAATCAACACATAACTTTTCAAATTCGAATTACCTCAATTAGAGAAATTTTGAAAAGGATACTCAGAGAGTTTGCTAAAATCAATCCAATTGCGCCTGCTGATCTGATAAGCAAGACGTTCATGATCACATATATCAATGAGAAGGCAAGCAATGAACCATTTGATCGTTTAAGTTCTTTCTTTGTTGCAACTGCCTGTAGAAATGCTTCAGACGTCCCTAATTGAAAATGCCATATCTTATTTTCCAAACATACAGATAAAACAATTTTTCTTGGAGACAATCAACATTACAATGTAGCATAAAATTCGGCAAAAGCCAACTTCAGGATATCTTAACTCACAAACAAAATAAAGCTAAGTTACATTTGCAAAAAATTACCATTCATGGCCAAAACGATCACATAAAGGCAATAACATTGGAGTACTTTGGTAGCTTCTCCATCGCTCCATTTTCTACCATACAGCAATCTGATGAGGGAATACGAATAGCTTGGACCAAATGCAATAACAACTAGACCTGTCAATCAAAATGTTAAGCTTTAGGAGAAAAAGGAAAGGAAAAGATGCATACTAGCTAAAAAACCGCAACATCAAGGGACTAATACTATAATTCAAAGTCCAGAATTGGACCTTATTATGGAATATTTCTAACTGCATGGAAGAACAATAAACTGACTTGCTCAAACTAAGTACTACTTATAAGATATTCTGTCAGTCCAAAAAGCCGGTTCTCAAGGTCAACTAAATAAATTGAACAAAATTTCTTTAAAGCTAAATTAGCAAGCGGTTATATAGTCAATGACTCAAAATAATCTTGGAAAAATGTTTAAGTGGTATAATTGACCATTAAAAACCTGTACATTATCAAACATAACTGATTAATTTGTAATACCCGGTTACCTACCAATAAGCAAAACAAGCTTCAGTGCATCTGTTAGACTCCTTCCCAGTTTCTCCTTTTTCCGTTCTTGATCTCCTGCAAGTGCACAACTCTTTTGTGATGAATGAATTCGCTCCAAATCTAAGATGAGAAGAACTACTGGACCTCATCAAGTTGGACTTATATGGGCTTATAATCAATTTCTAGATTGAAAACTTATGTCCCTTTACTTGAACACATCTAGAAGGATCAATTCTCTAATCCTTGTTTATTGAAGACTTTAAAGATTTTAAAAATGCTCCTTTCGTCCCATTTGTAAGATACAATTTCCTTTTTGGGTTTTCCCAAATATATGAGCACTTTCTTAAATTGGACTCCACTAACTTTTTACTTTCCCACTTTATCCCTTTTTATGTATCATTTCACCCTTTACTTTATGTAGATCCATTTGTCTCTTTCTTACTTTTTGGGGTTAGAGTTGTAAAACAACTACTTTATCCTTTATTGTCTTAAAACCCACACCAAACCCACATGCATCATACATTATGGGACGGAGGTAGTATTGTTTTATTTGTTATCTGGTGTTAAATTAATTGAAATTCTATCCATGGACACTTTTATAATATGGAACCAAGCTAAGTTCACTTGGATTCTTTGTTGCTAAAACTTAGAGGGACCTTGATATGATGTGACTCGTCCTAATTCCTAAAGCAACATGGACCGGAAAGAGCAGAGTATTGCGGAAAGAGTCTTCCTATTGTTGTTGTTCTTGTGGGTGTTATTGTTGTTATTATCCTAAGATTATTATTATTATTATTATTAGAATATTAGGATGTTTTCCTTGGACTGAATTTTTTAAAGTTGGACTCTAAAGAAGGAGAAAAAGATATATACAGACTTGCTCACCTTCGTGATCGTAGGACTCAAGGATATTAATGGAGGACAAAGAAATTAAAGAGAGGTGGAGGTCATACTTTGATACCTTGTTCAACGGGAATAAAGTGCAAGGTATTGATGATCTTACTATACCAGAGTGTATGGTAAATTGAGACTTCGTGAGAAGAATTCAAACAACAAAAGTTAAAGAGGCTATGAGAAAAATGGGGAGGAAGAAAGCAGTGGGCCCAGATGACATACCGATCGAGGCTTGGAGAAGTTTGGGAGAGAGACATCGAGTGGCAAAGACTTCGTAAAAGTGTGAAAATTTCGGAGAATCAATTTGGTGTTATGCTTGGACGCTCAACAACTGAGGCCATTCACCTTCTTAGACAAGTTATGTAGAAGTATAGAGACACTAAAAAGGATCTGCATTTGGTGTTCATTGACTTAGAAAAGGCATATGATAGGGTACCTCGAGAAGTCCTGTAGTGGGCCTTAACTAGAAAAGGCATATCACGTAAGTATATCAATATCATCATGGATATGTGTGAGGCTTGTACCACAAGTGTCCGCACTAGTGTAGGGAAGACCGCAGAGTACCCTATTACTATCGGAGTGCACCAAGGATATGCTCTGGGTCCTTTCTTATTTGTTATAGGCATGGATGAAATTACGAAGTCAATTCAAGAAGATATACTGTGGTGCATGATGTTTGCCGACGATATTGTATTGATTGATGAGACACAATCCGGTGTTAAAGCAAAGTTGGAAGTATGGAGACAAACATTGGAGACCAAGGTTTTCAGACTGAACCGAAGCAAGACTGAGTATATGGAGTGCAAGTTTGGTGGAGGTAGAAGTAGTACCAGAGTGGGATTACTCTTGATGGTAAGGAGATAGCGGTGTGTGATATGTTACGTTACTTGGGTTCCATAATTCAGAAGGATGGTGAATTAGATGGAGATGTATGCCATAGAATCAGAGCTAAGTGGATGAAATGGAAGAGTGCTTCAGGATTTCTATGCGATCGAGGTATGCCGAATAGACTGAAGGGTAAATTTTATCAAACAGCAATTAGGCCTGCATTAATGTATGGCGTGGAATGTTGGGCGATGAAGCAATGCCACATTCAAAGGATGAGTGTGGCAGAGATGCATATGTTGCGTTAGATGTGTGGACATACCAGAAAAGACCATTTTAGGAATGAGATAATCAGACAAAAGGTGGGAGTAGCACCTATAGAAGATAAGATGCAGGAGTCTCGTTTGCGGTGGTTTGGGCATGTGCGTAGAAGACCGAGTGATGCACATGTTAGATGACTTGAGGGATGGGGAGAAGAAGCAGAGAAGAGAGGGAGGGGAAGACCCAAACAGACTTGGATTAGAGGAATCAGAACTGATATGCGTCTTCTTGGATTAGATGAGAGTATGGCTTTTGAGAGAGCAAAGTGGAGGACGCACATCCGTGTGGACGACTGATGTCTTTTCTACCTTTCCTCTCTTTTTTCTTTTATCGTTTATCTTCTCTATCTTTGTATATTCTTATGTTATTTTTATATTCTAGCTTTTTTTTATGTTTTTTTCTTTTATCTTTCCTATATTCTTTTGTTATTGTTATCTTATATTTATTTGTCTTTATGTTATTCGTTTTATCTTACTTTTTTTCTTCCCTTTATAGTCCATCTTCTCTGTTTGGCATCGATATCATTGATCGATTCATGTTAACCGACCCCAAATTCTTTTGGGATTAAGGCTTCGATGTTGTTGTTGTTATTGTTGTGGTAGACTAAAAGAAATTGTTGTGGATTAGTACTCCAATTAATTGCTCTTCAAGATTTTTGAGTAGTAAAAAATAGGAGGTTTCTTTCATTAATACCATCATATAATTGCTAGCCTAATTACAGACTGTGACAAAGTTGAATCTCTCGACGAGTCCACCATATCAAGACCTTGCTCAAAGCACTTCAGTCCCTTTAGATTAATAGCATCTATATTCATGTGGGATGGGTCATTTGTAAAATATAAACAAACAGATTCATAGTTTGATCATCTGTAAGAAGTGATCTAATAATTTGGGTTGTTCCAGCCAATGACTAAAATGCTACATATAAAGTATTACTACCTCTGTCCCCTTAAAATTGGGAAAAAGGAGAGTGGTGCAGTTTTTAAGAAAAGTACAGTTATGATGTTGATAATGAATTGATAAAGTGGAAATAAAGTAAGAATGAATTCGAGCCACATAAATATTATCAAATATGATATGGGACAAATTTAGTGGGGATGGATGGAAAAGAAAAATGGGACATTTAAAGAGGGACGGAGGGAGTATTATTTATAAGTAGACAACAAAATCATTTTGTTACATATTTTAAGGAAATAAACTTTTTAGGATGAGACTAAGTGAAAAATATAACTACATATACATGTACATAAGGCTGTGATAAAAACCTGATGCAGACCTTGCAAACGTTGCATATGAGCTTTCTTCAAAGGGAAGAAAAATCAGCCTCACCACTAGGCTCCCTGAAAAAGCAATATGTTATCTCTTGATCACTGATCAAAACCGTACAAGGGAGATTGAAAAAGATATACACATGCATGCATAGTCTATATCAAACATCAGAAACTATACAAGGGTGGAAAGGAATAAGTGAACGAAAAAAAAACCCCGCCAATTATATGGCGCAGGAATGATTTACCTAGTTTGTCTACAAGTCCGTATACTGCTTGGTTATACGGTGTATCAAACCATACAAGGACCATCTTTTCACCTTCCTGAAGAATCAACTTCTGAACGGATTGAAGATTAAGTATCATGCACATGTTCACAAGCCGTTGATCATAGCTTATTGTATTTCCTATCCTGCAACAACAACATTATCAGTACATGTAAGTGCACTAAGACCATTGGTTCTATTAGAAGTCAGAAATATTATCTGGATGACATCTCTTTAGGATCTATAGGACAAATGGTCGACCAAAAACTGATGTGCCCTGTAACTGGATAAAATACCAATGTTTAGAAAAGCTAAAATGTGCGTTTAGGTGTTTTGAGCCTCGTCACAACGTACGATCATCAATCAAAGTGTAAGCCTCACCATATAAGATAATACCAATAGAAATTCAAACACTAAAAGTATAAATACGTTAATTTTGTAACTTCGCATTTTGTATGAAATAAATACTTATGTATAGTATAACTACTTCATAGATGGAAGTACTGCGGGCTGTGGCAAATGCATTTTATCACAAGCACCTATTATAGACAATCCTGATCTGAATGGAATCTATACAAAACCAGCAGCAATATCTGGATGATATCATTTTGGGATCTAGAAAAAATAGTACACTTAAAAAGGGATGTATCTTCTAACTGGATAGAATACATAAAAGTGGGGCCAAGGTAACGAATCACTGATACTTCTAAAAACAAGGGAATTACGTGTATGGGACATAATGAAAACATTTCCCCGTTTTGCTCAATATCTCCTATAATGGGAACATGGCAGGGACAATGCAGTGATGCAGCAAAGTTTTTTTATTGATAGTCTAGAATAACTCCAAAATATTGGACAGAAGTGTAAGAAAACATAGATTTATCCTTTCCGCACTTATAATCTACTGAATCTCTTATTATGAATAAACAGTGACTTCAAGTCTACAAAAATATTACAGCATTATTATTATTAACTATTACTACCTCCATCCCAAAAAAACTTGGCACTCATAAAATTTGGATCATGATTTTGATTAATATAATATTATGAAAGCTATAAATTTTATACTTTTATGAAAGTACTTTTAACAAAGAACATTTTTATATCATTTTTATATTATAAATAATTTTCCATAAAAAGATGTAGTTGGTCAAAGTTTTAAGAATGACAATCTTTTTTGGGACGGAGGTAGTATTATTTTGCAAACAGTCAACCGTGCACACATCACATCTTTGAACTTCATAGAGTTCAGAGAGCCATAAAACTACCAAGACTTCATGTGATGACTTGTTGTCTAAGCAATCTAACAGGAGTCAATCACTGATAAGTGAACCTTCAACTGCGTTTGAATTCCATTCTGAAAAGAAAAAAAATCATACCCCCCTCCCCCTACGTAGAAAGAATGTACAGCTGAAGATGATTGGAAAAATCAAAATCACTACCTGAACGGAAATAGAACACGAGTTGTGTATAATTGGCACAAAAGAAAGTACGCCCAGTAGCCTATGAAAATAGATGCTCCATACGCAACCTGTGACATTGAAAATACAATTGCTTTCTCCTGCAATTCATGTCATCCATGACTCATCAATAATCAGCAGGTGCAATTAAAAGGACATGGAGACTACACAAACAGATACATTCAGTAATGCAATGGTCAAGCAAAACATGAATATAAATTTACAAGATATAAGACAGGTAAAAAGAACCCAGTCAGATTACAAGTGTGGTAACTGAATGTTCTCTATAACAAGATATGAGCATGTTATCATTACATATACCAAACCAAACCAAACATACCCAGTATGCCCCAGTTGAAAGTAAGGTCAAGGGGGGGTGACAAGTACATAGATCTTACTACTAACCCTAGGAGATACTTAAGAGATTGAAGTATTATGTAGAAGGAAAGTTGCATTGAATTTATTATGAAGTGGAAAGTTGCATTGAAGTATTATGTAGTGGTAAGGAAGCATAATGAGGGAAAGTTGTGAAAGACATGGTTTAGCCTTTAGATAGCAAAGTCATCATACAAACAACTACAAGATGAACAGCAAGTAGTGGAACTGTGAAAGGCAATATTTCTAAGAGAAGAAACTTAATCCGCCTTCAGACTTGAGAGTTAATTAAGAGCTTAACATGAAGCTTTACAAATATGTTAGCAGTTACCACAGCCCTAGGGAATTTGGTAATGAGGGGGAGGGGGGTAGGTTCCTAATTGCACTGATGATGTTCCGATTCTGCTAGAGAAGGGGTTGGTGTTTGTGGTGACCCTAGCGGAAAGGAAACGTATTTAGATTCAAGTCTATATCTGATAGATGTAGAAAACAAATCACCATCAGGTCCATCAGCGACACCAGCCAGTGCATGGGATCGAAGTCTGAGAAAAAGGTGCTCAAAATTGAAGTTCAAAACCAAAATAATTCCTCTGCTGGGATTAATAGTTTGAGCTATGATCACGGTTATAATTCCGAACATATGAAAGTAGCTAACAATATTGTTGCTGAAAAGATACTGCACCCCTATCCTATCACAGAAGAAGAATTAGAGGTCCATGGTTGTCCTGGAGTGGTGTGAATTATATAATCAATACTTTGGTGGTGGTGTGATGTACGGGGATCCTTGTGACCCTATTCAACAGCTCTTAGGTATTGGGGCAACAGATGGTAGGTTAAATGTCGTTGAAGAGGAACACACTGTCTGTTGTATAACTATGATGTGGTCTCCACCAATATCTGCAGAGTATTCTGGAAAAGAGAGCCACTTGAGTTGTTATGCACAAATGCTGAATATCCTGCTAGTTGGAATAGCACCCGTAGACTGTTGGTGTGCCCAGGTATTTTCTCTTGATGGCAGGGATCCACAACTTGCTGGTTCTCTGATGACAATCTGTGAAGTGTTTGGAGTGTGTATTCTGAATGTCGCATGGACAATGCCTGCAAGAGGGAAAGTCACAGCTCATTCTGAATTTTTTAATGCAATTACTGTACTTCTAAAGCTGTGGAGTTCTAACCATCCACCTATTGAGTATGGAGTTGGAGATGTACAGACAATGATCTACCAGTTAACGCCAGAACACCTCTTATTAAAACAAGAGCAGTCCCAGAAGCAGGAAAAGGGTGCTGCTAAGGCCATGCAACTATGCAAGACTTATATGATATGATGCGATGGGATGTCTTTCAGGTGAACATGAATGAGCACCTGTTAGGAATAGATAATAAGTGGGCCTATTATCATAGATAATAATAAGTGGGCCTGAAATAATAATAGCAGGGAAAGGGTTATGGGCTATATTAGTAGTTTATCCTTACGGGAGTATTAACTATAAATAGATGTGGGAGTAGCTAAATAAGGTAAATTGTTATTCAGTTGGCTTTTGGCTTGGAGTGTGGGCTTCTCGAACAGTCCCAAGGCTTGTATACGACTTGTATTCTCTTCCCATTCAATAAACATCATTGATCTTCTTCATTACAGTTTTCATTGATCTGTTAAACTTGTGCTCGTGAATTGTTACCATCTATCATTGGTATCATAGACTCGATCCTGATGATCGGAAGTGTTCAGTGACCTCAGCAATACTTACGTTCGGCGGTGGATGGTAAGGACCAGAGCGAACATGGAGCGTCGCATAGCTACGGTGGAAAGGAATATGGCGGAGATGTGAGGGACTCTGTTGGAGGTACAAGAAGGATTACGCTCAGTGGTGGAGAATCAGTGTATTGCTCTGGAAAATTTGACGACGAATATGGCGGCATTGATGGCAGCCATGAATGAACAACTGCGATCAAGGGAGAGATCGTGATCGCAAGGACAACCACACATACGAAGATCTAATAGTCCGACGACTTCAGGAGGTAATCCAATCCACTCTTACATCCAAAATCACAGAAGGACTGAGGATAGTCATAGATTTCCAGTATATACGGGGAGGAAAATTGATTTACCTGTATTTAATGGGGAAGGTGCATATAACTGGATTGTAAGGATGGAGAGATACTTTCGTTTGAACCAAATTAATGAAGAAGAACAGGTGGAAGCTGCATTAGTTGCGATGGAAGGTAGGGCTGTAAATTGATTCATTTGGTGGGAACATTAGGCGGAAAGGAAAAATTGGGAGAATCTGAAGGCTTCTGTTATACGTAGGTTTCAGTCAGACTTGATTCAGAATCCTTATGGACCCATGCTTAGCTTGAAGCAAACTGGAACTGTTCAGGAGTTTGGAGATGAGTTTGAAATGGTGATAGCTCCTCAAATCAATGTGGATATGGAGATCCCTAAGGAATTTTCCTTAATGGTTTGAAGGAGGGGATAAAAGCTGAAAAACTACATAATTCAACATCCTTGACTGAAATTATGGACAGAGCTCTACTAATTGAGAGTAGGAATGAAGCAATATATCTGAAGAGCAAAGAAGAAGACAGGTTACCTTGGAAGGAGAAGGGAACTGCTGCTGTTAAATCACAAGCATGGACTGAAGGATTTAAACCTAAAATGGGAAACTCTTGGCCTAATACTACTGGGAAGAGTGCAGCTGAAAACAAGAGTAAACCATCTTGGTTTACTCCTGATGGGAAGAAGGAGACAGAAATAACTCCCCCAGACATTAGAAGGGTGGGGCCACAACTGTCACAGGAAGAATATCAGGACAAGAGCAGGAAGGGACTTTGCTTTAAGTGTGGGGAAAAATGGAACAAAGAACATACCTGCAAATTAAAGAATTACAAACTAATACTGGTGGAAGATTCTGATAGTGAGGAAGAAGTACAAGGTGCAGAAGCGGAAATGGTAGCTAAAGAAGCAACCACCATGGAATTTAAGTCAATGCAGCTGTCTCTTATGAGTAAGGAAGGGATACCTTCTATAAGGACTTTCAAGGTAAAAGGGAGTTTAGAATGGGCCGCAGGGAGGGCAGAGGTTGAAGTACTCGTTGATAGTGGGGCTACCCACAATTTTATATCACAGAGGTTGGTGGATCAATTGGGACTAAGCATACACACCATTACTGGATACAGAGTTCAAATTGGTAATGGAGAGAAGATTATCAAAAATGGCAGATGTGAGGATCTAACACTAGGTTTACAAGGTACCAAAATAAATCAGCACTTTTATGTATTGGATCTGGGAGATGCAGACTTGGTGCTTGGGATGGAGTGGCTGACTACTTTGGGTGATGTGGAAATAAACTTTCAGAAACAAAGTATAAAATGGAAGGTTCAGGGAGTAAGTAGTTGAGCAGATTCAAGGGGATCCACACTTGAATTCCAGTAAGATATCACTGAAAACCATGATTCAGATCCTGCAGGACACTGGTGATGGTTGTTTTGGGTTTTATGAAGGAAGAGCAATCGAGATGAAAGAAGGAGGAGAATTAGAGAAAATTCTTGTAGAAGACATTGTAACAGGGGTTGATGAGCAATTTGTGGATGCAGCAGCTAAGGTAATCAGCATGGATGTGTTTCCTCCAGAAAAATTAAATGCTTGTCAAGCATTATCACAGTTTTTAATTGATACAGACTCTGGAGTTGTTTGGCCACACATGCAGCACATAAATTCATCAATCATTCACCACACTGTGAATAGGATTTTTGAGAGACTACGAGGTACTTTCAGGGCAGATTCTTTTACCAACTCTGAGGCTTTAGAAGTGTTAGAGCAGACTGAAGGAATAATCCTCCAAAGTAATGACAACAACAAGATTCAGGAATCACTTGGATGGAGTGAAAAGCCAAAGGTGAAGGAAGCAATGGTGAAGATCCAAGCACAGAAGCTAAGAGCCCAGAAATCAGTGAAGTACTGGGAGGGGAGAGGTGCAAGGATGAGTGTAAGTTGAAGATCATGGCTATTCCCTATCACCCACCTTGAGGACAAGGTGGTTGTTTAGGAGGGGAGTATTGTTAGGAATAGATAATAAGTGGGCCTATTATCATAGATAATAATAAGTGGGCCTGAAATATTAATAGCAGGGAAAGGGTTATGGGCTATATTAGTAGTTTATCCTTACGGGAGTATTAACTATAAATAGATGTGGGAGTAGCTAAATAAGGTAGGTTGTTATTCAGTTGGCTTTTGGCTTGGAGAGTGGGCTTCTCGAACAGTCCCAAGGCTTGTATATGACCTGTATTCCCTTCCCATTTAATAAACATCATTGATCTTCTTCATTACAGTTTTCATTAAACTTGTGCTCGTGAATTGTTACCTTCTATCAGCACCTTGATACATGGAAGGAGTTGTTAAAACCTAAGAAGGAAGACAGCTTATTTCAGAAGTTGAAATGGCCAAAAGATGTTGAGTTGAAAGCTCTCATGCTTCAAGCTTATTTGGAAAGGGTGGCAGTTGGAGATTCAGAGGCTACAATTTCAAGGAGTGAAGCAACTGATACCCAAGGTCTTGGGTTATATCCTGAAGTAAGAGCTGTTAGTAAGTGGAAGATTGAGCAGATGGTGATGGGTAAAGTTCAGTTCCAGCATGAAGGAAGCCGCCCAAGTGGTACTGATAGTTTGAAGGCAGAGGATCTATTGATTCTTTTGCTAGAAGTGAGGAGGAAGATTCCAGTACTGAAACTCTTGGTCCAACAATCAGTGAGGTACTGGGAAGGGAGAGGTGCAAGGATGAAGCGGATTACCATGGCAGTTTCCTACCACCCACCTTGAGGACAAGGTGGTTGTCAAATGGGGGAGTGATGATAGAGACCTGAACTTGTGGCGAGAGAATTAATAGAAATAATACTGAATATTTTAATTAGTAAAAAGGAAGTGGGCTGAGCCAAATAATTAGTTAGATTGAGGGGAAGCCTCATTGGAAAAGAATAAATAGAAGGAATAGAAAAGGGAGAGGGGCAGGCTGGAATTCATTTGAAATTGGGCTTGGGAGAGGGAAACTGCTTGAAGTGTCTTAATGAATCCTGAGATTTTCTACTGATTATACGTATTGTTTCTACTGTGAGAATCGGTGAGAATCGGTTTCTATCACTGAGGCGTGAAGAAAACGCTCCTAAGGCTTAAGCCTTAGGTGACTAATATGAGGCTTATGCCTTAGGAAGTCTGAGACGCTGAGGCTTATCATGGCTTAAGGCTCAGATTCATAAGGAAAATCTGGAGTCTTGCGATGTTAAGAGTGAAAAAAGTTTTTAATGCGTGTTGGGCTATTTTTTAAGCTGTTGGGCCTCATGAACATCTGGGCACCGACCCAGAATGGCACTCTCCTATCTTTTTCATTTGTGTTTTTCTTTTTAAAGACAAAACCCTTGTCCCTTCATTTTTCAATCTTCAGCAATAATGAAAATGTCCTCTAGCAGCCACAAGTTTAATTTCTCGTCTCTATCTATGCGAGTTCTCTGTATACTACATGTCTACATTTACGATTTTTCTCTCTTTTTTGCTAATTTTTTTATCTAACAGCCCTTATATTTCTCCCCCTCATTAATATTATTTCCTCCCTTTCACTTTAATATCTCTGCCCTTTTAAATCAGCTTGTTAACCAGCATAGATGGAGATATTAAAGTGGTGATATGGAAGGAGATGAATTAGGATGAAATTACAAATGTAGATAATAATGCACTGACTAATGTTGTTACTTTTGAAGATTAGTAGTTAGAAAGTTAGAAATTTAAGTGCATGTTTGGTAGGCATAAGTCGATACCATCTAGCTTTTGTACTATTTAAAAAGTCTCTAAATGCTTCTAGTTGTATGTTTGGCATGACAATTTTTAAATGTTTTTTTTTTCAAAATAAAAGATCTCTCTTGAGAAGCTACATTGAATAGCATTTGAGAACAATCTATAGCTTTTAGCGTTAATTAGTCACCGAGTACACTGGGTATACCAAACAGAACTAAATCAAACAATAAACTTTTTATCAAATAGCTACCATTTTTTTCTTTTATGATCTTTTAGTCACTAAAAGCTAACCGTTACTAAAAAGCTCAAAAAATATCTTTTAAGCTAGTTGTGCCAAACATACCCTATGACTTGAAAATGTTGTACTACGTATGTTTTTATTATTGGCAGGCACATTTTATCATTTCTGTCTTCTTGACTTACTTTTTTTCCTTATAAGAACAATACTATGTATATTCCAACATTTCAAATTTTTATGTCAAAAACTATCATTATAAACTACAAAGTATCTATTTTTACCCTGTTTATTATTACGTTAATGATAGAAAACTCAACAAAAAAGTACAGAATTAGTATATTCTCGATGAAAAGATTTCAGAACCCGATGCAATAGTGTAGACAGAAAGAAAGAGAAGAACGGATTCTATTGGGACACTTCGAGTAGTCTCGCACCCCAATTCCCAATTCCCGATCCCAATTTCCTCCCGTTTTCCCCTTACCCGCTCATTATTATAATACTATCCTAAAGGGCCGGCCCTCAGCCCTAATTTATTGGGCCTAAGACCCATTTATTATACTCCCTATGTCCCATTGAAAGGTACCCACTTTCCTTATTTGAGTGTCTCATTTAAAGGTTCTCATTCCATTTTAGGAAATAATTTACTTTCTTTAATTACACCTTTAATGAAATTTCTCTTTCTTACTCATTACATGTTAAGTCTCAAAATTTTGCCTCCCCCAACTTATCTCCTTTTAATTACTTTCACTTTATATGTTTACTTTTTTTTAATTTCCTTTACTCTCTTTAACTCAAATTACTTTATTCAACCATTTGCCTGAAAAATCGTGCCATCTACCCATGGGAACCTCCCAACAGGACGGAGGGAGTACAATATTAATAGACTTGGTATTATTCTTATTAGGAGGAGTGTCCGGGTCCCTATCAATTATATCTTAATCCGAGGCTTATGCCCCGTGAGGCAAGCGGGCAACTTTGGCTTTCAAAACATTGTTTATAAGACTAAATTATTAGAGTATTCAGTATTGTATCATATATTTCTAAAACAAATAATGCAAGGCTAAGTAAATGTCCTACGCACTACTTAACCTTTGATATAGAGTAGCTACCAAACAACAGTTTAACTTTGCAGACCTAAGGACAAGTTCTTCCCATCTTCTATGCAGCAGTGGAACCGACGTGTTCACCAAGGTTGTCAAAATCGTGATTTGAATTGTAAAATCGCCTAATTTCATGATTCAAACCAGTTGTGCCAATCCAATCAAACAGAAAATTGTGAGTAAAATTGGTCAAAATCATTGGTATCGTGTGAAATTGTGGTGCTAGACTGCTAGCTATCTGTGCAATTTTCAAAAATATCAAATTAAATTGTAGCCTGCAACTCAAACAAGCAAAGGTAGTCTAGAAGAATCAAATTCAGTTATTTTTGTGCTTATTAAGCCCCAAACTGACAGAAAAAATATAAACTATTAACCACTGAATCAAAGTGGGTAGATGGTTGGTTGCTTCAGGATGAGAGCATATGTTACTATTAAAGTATTACCGAGCTTGGTTGCTTCAGGATGAGAGCATATGTTACTATACAACGTGAAAGAGTGGCAGCAGTTTCAACAATCAGCCGCAATTTGAGAAGAGCCAATTTTTGGGCCAAAATAAAGAATGGTTCTGCCAGTAGCTCAAGAATGCATGCAAAACCTGAATGTGATTTTTTACATATTACGGAGTAAAACACAATTCACAACTATTGAACAAAAGAATGGAAAAAAACTTAATTACAGAGTATATACTAAACAACCTTCTCTTTCTCCACCAGAAAATATGATCAGAAGGTAAAGAGCACGCATGCAAACCCATAGTCAACAATCCGCTCCCCACAATCAATTATTAATGAATAAGGTCAAGTGCTTATGCTTATAGTAAAAACCTTTGAACAATAATACAACACCAACAGATGACACAGACAACAATTAAATGGCAACATCAATAAAGGCATAAAGGAAAAGGGACCAAAATATTTTAGTTTACCTCTTGGACTCTTAGTGCCGTTAAAAGTTGAGCTGTCACTCCCGCAATATTTATTTTAGTTTTTCCCCAAAAATGCCTTCCGAATTCAGAATTACCTTTATTAACTTTGTACAATTCTAACAATCCACAACCCGTAAGACAGCTTATGTGTTAATATGCTAGGATAATTAATTTCGCGAAGCATGTGATAGTGTTATTAGCTTCTTACCATTAATCAAGATAGCTCGTCCATAAGGACTGGAATAACCTAGATCTTGCCACCAGAATACAATCAAACAAGCAAAAAATGTGACCAGTACCCCTAATGGGAAGGTCATCCAGGCGACTTTCAAAAGCTTAGCTTCAGTTTCTCCTGCTGCTGAAGCACCATCACTGCTAAATCAAATTTTCAGATTACATTCAAAAAACTGTACGAAAATGCAAAATTAACATTTCATGTGTGCTTGATTTCAGTACATTCATCATCATCACCACCTTAATAGTTAATATAAACAATGTTGGGTCAGCGGCATGAAAGTGATGTCATATGCTACTAATTCTAAAAATTATTCAATGCTAAAATATTTGTGCTAAGGCAAAAGCGGAGTGGCAACGTTTTCCGCCCGATTCCTTAATATTATGGAAGGAATAATGTAAGAAATAATGAAATATTCAAAACCATCATCGATCATCGATAAAAGTTACCATTTACAGAGAAAATATCATGAGACATGGGTTGAGATAGTTGATATTGTCATGTCTCATTGCAAAATGTAATGTCACCATTTACATCTAATGCACCAGAGCACTTAAGCAAAAAATTACCTTATATGAAACAAAATGAAAGGAGCTTTATGTATCCAGATATGCAGTCTATAGGCCTATACCCTCTTAATGAAAAATAATGACAAAGAATCTTCAGGGTGCTATGACCATGTTCCATTGAGATCGCATCATTACATATCAACAATTAAAAGCAAGCAAGTCACTCAAGCATACTGAAGGCAACCAACTGGGTGAGACAATAATTGCTTAATTGGGGGGGGGGGGGGGGGGGGGGGCAACAAAATATGCATATTGAAGGCAATAACAATGCTTATGAACCCAATTGAAAATACCATGTGATATCTTCCCTCATGCAAGCTCGCCTGAATCCCTCTCTACTTAAAAACAATATGCAAGTCACAAACAGATGGAATTGTACAGCACAAACCTGCATTGTGTAAAAAAAACATGGCACTATAAGATACAAAAAACAAGTAGCATTCACAGGAAAGTAATAATTCTTCAAGAAGATTTGGGATACATTGAAACTAGACATTGTTAACTCACATTCTTATTTGCAACACATTCATTGGGTAATGAAAAAACAGTTATGTGATCATCAACCAAATAGACGTGTGCCACATAGGAATGTCTATCAATAATGCCTCTTTTTCATTTCCGCAAAAAAACTCACGATGCTTACATACATATCCACTTCTACAGAGACAGAAATAAAAGGATCACTTATATAAAATCATATGAATTAAAATGCATAATTTAGATATAATGAGGCTCCAAGACTCCAACTATGCTCTTGATAGGTGATATCTTTGCAAATGCCCGTATTAAACTTTGAAAGGGCCTGAATAAGTCCAGTGTAACCATTCTCAATCAATTTCGAGAAGACATGTGAATGTTCAAGATACCATTTTTATAATAACTCATGATGGACCTACGAGTGTTATTCTTTGAGTTCTGATTTAGCCAAACCATCACATTTAATCGATTCCAAACAAAGCCTAAACCAATCCATGGGGACCCAATCACCCAATACTAACTCTTCGCATCTGGAATACATTGAATTCAAGAAATTGTTTTTAAATTCTCAATTGATGAAAAAAATGTTTTCCATCAGCATGCTTCCATCATTTCTCATAAAGTTGATTATAAATTCACAATTGCCAAGAAGAACAAATTCTTTTTCCTCAATATACTACCATAACTTTTTTACTACTAACGCATTCTCTCCCCCAAAGCAAGGCTATTAACCATAAGGAATTAGTGAAACTAATTACAAAAACAATAGTTAGAGTTCGAAAAATTGTAATTTACCGCATAATCTTCTTCTGAGAGATGTCTAACAATCCAGGAATTGAATACGAACGGGATTCCCCTTGACAGAAATTGTGTAGCTGCAAATGCAGATCATTGTTATACACTTATACAGTTATGTATAACACTGGACCGCACAGGGAGGACATTCATTCAACTTAATATTCAAATTGACAAACCTAATAAGTATTTGAAAGTGCGGTGCAAACTCGAATCAACAGCGGTGTTTCGCATTTCTCTTTGAAAAGTCTTGTTTTGATTCCCTGCATCAGCATGGTAATGTGTTGTTTTGGGTTAAAATATTTAAATACTTGTGAAGTGAAATTAAAATTATAAACAGTAGCAGACCTAAAAGATTTATCAAGTGTGGCACACTGGATTTCAAACCATATTGTGTCTAAGCTAATACAACAAAAACCAAGCCTCATTCCCAAAAGATTTTGGGGTTGGCTAACATGAATCGATCCATGATCTCGGAGCCAAACACGAGCACACAGGCTCCCAATTGTTTTAGAAGAAAAAAACATTGTTTAAATATCCATGAGCAGTTTATAAGTTTCAAATAAGAATGGAAGCACGAACCACGTCTCCCTTCTTGATCAACTACGACTCTAGCCTTAACCTGAAAAATGTGAGGGTCCCGGAGGGGTCAGTACTCCATGGAAGTACTAGTGACAAGCAGGCTATATGAGGAATAACTAATGTTTCAGACACGAGACTCAAAAATACGATGTTACATATATATAAATGTCTCTCATCCACCTGATGATACATACTGTATATATACTTGTAAAATACTTAACCCGTAGGTCATTTACCTTAAAGAGTCTTTTAGAGATAAAATTCTACCTGACTTATCTCACTTCATTCCCGGATACCTAGCTCATAAGCTATGTTCTACATTCATAATATCCTACCGAGTTTCAGGATCAATTACCGTCCCGAGGATGCTCAACCTCAACCGAGTTTTAGGATCATTTACCGTCCCGGGGATACTCAACCCCAACCGAGTTTCAGGATCATTTACCATCCCGAGGATACTCAACCCCAACCGAGTTTCAGGATCATTTACCGTCCCGGGGATACTCAACCCCAACCGAGTTTCAGGATCATTTACCGTCCCGGGGATACTCAACCCCAACCTTATTCCTTATCAAACCCTAACCTGGATATGGCTAACATTTCATTCCTTTAACTATGGACAATACTTAGCCCTATAGTCATATAATAATCCTTAATAATCAACGTGGACGGTTCTCATCCGAACTCCCTGATAGACAATTTATAAGTCCTCGCAAGTGCACGAGTCACGATAGTATAGTGCTCAAGTAAGGGTCGAATCCACGGGAAAATGCAACTAAGTAATTGGAAAACTATTAATAAAATGGAATTATATTTAACTAAAAAGAGTTTTGAGAGTGTTTTGATTTAAAACCAATAATGCAGAGCTTGAATTAAAATGAATGCAAGGAATTTAAATGAATAAAAATAAAGTGATTAAATAAAAAACAGAAAAACGATTGAGAACTTAGCAAGATAAAAGATAGTCCAGGATTATGAATCAGCCACTAATTTTTAGTTTTTGTGATTTAGCTAGTCAATTAAAATTGAGGGTTCGTTCTAGACAGAAATATGACTATTCCGTATGACGTCCAGAATAAGTCACGTACTTTAACTATTAATCAATTAGAAATTATTAATTCAATAGTTAAAATCCATTAATCACAAAAGAACAACGGAACCCGATTTAAGAATCAAATAGATAACCTAACAAGACAATTGAATTATCTATTCTTTTATCCAAAAGAGCTCGAATTAATAGGCATGACATGTACTCTATTAATCCACTCAAACAACTTAATTAATCATGCTAAAATTGGCCAGAAGTTAACACAACAAATTAAGCTAAGAAGATCAATGGATAAAACTCAACCAATTGACGTAACTAAAATCACAATTCATACTAAATCATAGCAACTTCATCATAATCCAGGACTTAAGAATTCAACTACTCATAACAATAAATTTATTGACTAAAATAATCAGCATGGCAGGAACAACTTCAACCATCTAAATAAATAGCAATAGGAATTCCAAGTTCTAAACAAAGTAATATGCTTGGATAGATCTAACCCAAGCAACCCTTCCTGTTAATGAAAGTTTGCTGCTGCCGTAGACTTCCGGAATTCAGCAATCAGTTTGCTACGGACTGCCTTGAGCGATTCACCAGCCTCTCGCCTTGATCTCCCCGACCGGCCTGAGCGATTCTTGCCGAGTCGCTGCCTTTCGGTCCCAGCCTCGGCTCTTCGCCGCCAGATTCCCCAACTAATCGCTAGAGTACAGCCGTTTCAAGCTTTTTTTTAGTCGCTAGACTCGCTGCACCCCTGTTTTTCTCTTGGGCTTTCCTTTTTCTTTTATTATCTCGAACTTTTATAAAAAGGTCAATTAAGTTCTTCTATAGAAGGTTCTATCCGACAGTCGCGATTTGGGTCAGTTCCAGATGGAATTTTTTTATGAAATTTTTTGAGCATCTTATTCATCAAGTCTAGTTTACTCATATCAAATTTCAGCTAAAAATTCAATCGGGAACACATTCAAATTAATTTTTGAAGATTACTGCGCATTTTTGCGTTCTCGAATTAATTTGAATGCGCTCCCGATTAAATTTTTAGCTGAAATTTGGTATGAGTAAACTAGACTTGATAATAAGATGGTCAAAAAATTTCATCAAAAAATTCCACCGGAAACCGTCCCAAATCGCGACGACCGGACAGAGTCTCCTATAGAAGGACTTAATTGACTTTTTTATGAAAGTTCAAGGACCTATTTGACAGTTTTCCCTCTTTTATTTATATGACGTTTTGGATTTCTGGTGCGTGACTAATTAAGAGTAATACTCTCTTCTTCTTCTTTTTTGCTGCGTACGAGTTTATCTCCTTAAAAAATCCAGCTCCAAATCCCTTTTGCACAAATGGGCTGCTGTGTTCAAAGGACGAGACCATTAATTTTTGAACCTCCTCTTAGAAACGGAAATTCTCATAATCAGTCCAAAAGTCCTCAAATCTTTCAAATAAAAACCTCTGCACTTAAAAAAATCATTTTCAACACAAAAGTTAGAATTGTAATATTAAATATAATCATTTTCAAGTAGGCAAATACGGAGTAATAAGTTTAGAATTGTAATAAAATAATATAAAAATGAAGTACAAATTTTATCTCGTCACGCTCCACGTTATACTCATTCAAAATTGACTGTTTGGGACTTTGGGTGTAAAACCCAATACTCGGTTGAGTACCAACCCATACCCGGTCGGGTATAGAAGGCAGCGGCCCCTGGGGCATATATTCAATACATACCCGATCGAGTACCTACCTATACCCGACCGGGTATAGAAGGCAGCGACCCCCTGGGGCAGTTTTCATAACATACCCGGTCGGGTATTTGCCAATACCCGATCGGGTACAACAGTTGATTTGGCGGTCAACGCCCGTTTGACCGCTCAAATGAAGTCCGATTAACGTGAAAATTTACATTCAAGTACTCCTTGACGTCCTTAATCCAAATATACCTATTCGGGTCCTTGGAACATCATACATATCAATTTATAATGATTTCACTAATCAAACCTATAAATCATGTTTTTCAACTATGTTATACTCTGTATTCCTTAACATGACATAGCACATCCTTTAATATCCTTAATCAATTCATAAAGCATATACTTGATTAATTTAGGTAATCTCATGCCTCACGCAAAAGTTATAAAGCATAAAGCCGTCTTCTCACTTTAAATGAAGCTTATGAAGTTATAGCTTCCCTTATTGAGCTCCGGCGAAACTCCGACGAACTTCAACGAACTCCGGCGACAATTCCGGTGACCCTTTCAACTCCATGAAAGTTCCTTGAATACCTTAGACAAGTTACTAACATGTTTTTATCATCATAAAACCCATATTAATGCAAATAACCTCCAAAAGGTTATTTTCCGGCGAACCGGTCACTTTGGCTTCTAAGTCCGTTCTTGGACCTAGAACTACCTTCCAACCCCTCATTCTACACTTCCAAACGTGTAGAACAATCCTAGGGTGTGAAATATGATTGTATAATCATATAAGATGATTGAGGAACAAGAAATGGGATTAATGGAGTCATTACCTTGTAAATCTCAAGTTTTCCTCCCTATCCTCCCCTTTTCTCTTCTCTTTTCCCTTCCTTCTTCCTCCCCTTGCTTTGTGAGAAATGGTGGATGAAAATGGAGTGTTTGCAGACCTTATCTCTCTTCCTTGGATGGGTTGGACGAGCTGTAAGGGGTGGGGTGATTGAGAATGCCAATTTGGCATTTCTCTCAATAATAACATGGGAAGGTCCCGTGCATGTTTATTGTTTTTGGCTTCCCATCATATCCTACCCCCTTTCCCCTCTTGTTGTGCGGCTCTCCTAGCCCATTTCAAGGTTAAAGTCGTGGGTTGGCCCCCACTTATGTGGGAGGTCAACCCTTTGTGTCCCGGAGTGTACAATCGATCCCGAAAGTTGTATTTTCCGGACTGTTTTAATTATATTTTATTTTATCAGGTTAAATAAAATGTCGCACATGTTGTCCATCATTATTGGACTTTATAATGAATATACATTTCTCAAATTTAATTTAGAAGTCTCCGAAAATCCTTTTCGGACTCTTATCTGATAAATTGTTGATACTAATAATTGGACCTTATTTGACGAGCCGGTCAACCTCACGCCTTTCCCATGGCTCAAATAGGATGTCCACCAGCGTATACATATTATCTAGGCCCAGATGAATATAATACGTGGTCCCGATAACATCGGGCAGCCCCCACTTCCGATGTAGGCCCCACATGAATTTTACTATTTACGTAAAAGAAATGATAAAAATTTACAACCACATAATATGCGTTTATTAATTTCTTAGGGTTCAATACATAATTTGATAAAGTACAAACACTTGGGGGCGGTGTTACATACAATTTGTGATGAGACTCATAGAATGTGAGAGAGCTGATCTGCAATCCACTCTTCATCACGAGCTTGCAGTACTCCGCTCAGGATTAGAGAAGGTTCCCGGCGCTCCACACTTGATCTCCAAGCTTGTATTGCTCCGCTCATAGAATCTGACAAGGTGCCCTATGCTTCGCACTTGATCTAAAAGCTCGTAGTGATCCGCTCATGGATTTTAACCAAGTGTCGTGCAATCTACACTTGATGTAGAAGCTTCCTCGTTGTAGTCTTCAATTTGTAAGATCAATCGGGAGCACCACGCTGAATTTGATCTCCCGTTCCTTCTCTCGTGGTTGACCTGGATTTCTTCGACTTCAAAGGTGGGTTCAGTACAAAGCTAACCCTCCAGCGTACTTTTTATCTTCGTTGATGAAATGGGCTATGAGGTCCTCTGCCTAAGTTGCTTACACGCCTTTGTGTAAAATCTTGTACCCCTTTGACAACGATTCTTCCACGCTACTGTGAATTTCGGCGTCACAGGGCGTCTTCATATTATCCGGAGGATGTCTCCATGTCCACAAGAATGGTGTGACATGAATGCTTATGCACCTTTTCGCGTGGTGTCAGCCTCTAGAATCCTTGAGCCAAAGCTTCTAGAACGTGGGTGGCTTCCCGGAACGCTTACAACCCAGCATGAAGTTGTGTCAGCTTCATGTGCAGAGCACAATATGACTCACCTCTTAGACGATCATGGGAAGATTGCCCGTTACAACCGTGACCCAGTGTACCCCTCGAGTCTCCAGGATTCGACAATTGATTCCAGAGATCTCCTGTCAGCATCATCACCTGGCTCCTCACATAATGGTCGTTGTATTGTCCATACTGCTCGGTGCGAATGAAAACTTCATGTCGGTGTTATCGTCTTATGGGTCATCACGATTCCCTTTATCTTCTTTCTTTCCTCCTCCTTCATCCTTCTTCCTCTGCTTTGCGTCTTCTGCCTCAGCCTGGCGGTCTGCACGCCCTTGTCGAATGGCTTCGCGTTGCAAAGTTTGTAACCCCTTAGCAACGGTACTTCTGGACCGTCATGATCAGCTCCATGTTGCAAGGTTTGTACCCCTTTAACAACGATGCTTCCATGACTTCGAGTAACAGATCCGCGTTGCAAAGTCTGTACCCCTTTAGCAAGGGTGCTTCCCTCCTTCCCGGGACGAGTGTTTTCGAGAGGGCCTCCTTCCTGGACGCCGCTACGTTGCAAGGTATGTACCCCTTTAGCAACGCTGCTTCCATGCCTTCGAGTAACAGCTCCGCGTTGCAAGGTACGTGCCCCTTTGACAACTGTGCTTCATCATGGTACCAGTGGATGGTTCTGGGACGTGGAGGTCGGCACGCCCTTGTGGAATGGGTTCACGTTGCAAGGTTTGTAACCCCTTAGCAACGGTACTTCTGAACCTTCATGATCATCTCCACGTTGCAAGATCTGTACCCCTTTAACAATGATGCTTCCAGGACTTCGAGTAACAGCTCCGTGTTGCAAGGTCTGTTACCCTTTAGCAACGTTGCTTCCCTCCTTCCCGGGACGAGTGTTTCCGGGAGAGCCTCCTTCCTTGACGTCGATGCATTGCAAGGTATGTACCCCTTTAGCAAGGCTGCTTCCATGCCTTTGAGTAACAACTCCGCGTTGTAAGGTATGTGCCCCTTTGACAACAGTGCTTCATCATGGTACCAGTGGATGGTTCTGGGACGTGGAGCTCGACGCGCCCTTGTGGAATGGCTTCTCGTTGCAAGGTTTGTAACCCCTTAGCAATGGTACTTTTGGACCTTCATGATCATCTCCATGTTGCAAGGTTTGTACCCCCTTAGCAACGATGCTTCCAAGACTTCAAGTAACAGCTCCGCATTGCAAGGTCTGTACCCCTTTAGCAACGGTGCTTCCTTCCTTCCCGGGACGAGTGTTGCCGGGAGGGCCTTCTTCCTGGCTGCCGTTGCGTTGCAAGGTCTGTACCCCTTTAACAACGATGCTTCCATGCTTCGAGTAACAGCTCTACGTTGCAAGGTCTGTACCCATTTATCAACGGTGCTTCCAGGACTTTGAGTAACAACTCCGCGTTGCAAGGTCTGTACCCCTTTAACAACAGTGCTTCCTTCCTTCCCAGGACGAGTGTTGCCGGGAGGGCCTCCTTCCTGGCTGCCGCTGCATTGCAAGGTTTGTACCCCTTTAGCAACGATGCTTGCATGCCTTCGAGTAACAGCTTTGCGTTGCAAGGTCTGTACCCCTTTATCAACGGTGCTTTCCAGGACTTTGAGTAACAGATCCGCGGTGCAAGGTCTGTACCTCTTTAGAAACGGTGCTTCCTTCCTTCCCGGGACGAGTGTTGGCCGGAGGGCCTCCTTCCTGGATGACGTTGCGTTGCAAGGTCTATACCCCTTTAACAATGGTGCTTCCATGACTTCGAGTAATAGCTCTACGTTGTAAAGTTTGTGCCCTTTTGTCAACAATGCTTCATCATGGTACCCGTGCATGGTTCTCGGACGTGGAGGTCGGCCACACATGGCTCTCCCTCGACGACCTTTCTCCTCAGCTCGTGTAGCCTTAGCCTCAGATCTTTCACCACATCAGGGGCCAATTCTGCTCGTGCGCGCGCAGCGCGGAGCTGAACTTGTAGAGTAACCCTCTCGCGTACGTGAGGTCGAGATTTAGCATGACATCCGTCCGGGAAGGTTGTCCGGCTGCCCGATCGATGGGAGTGATAAGACGAGTCATCCTTCCTTGCTACCATGGCTACCCAACTTGTCGGGACACATACTCCCTTCGAGATCCATTTGTGCTGGTACATGTTTGTTGATACGTCTCCCGAGGTGTCAGCTATCTACCCGGTTGACGGGAGTGATGAGATGAATCATTCCCTCCTTCCCGGAACGAGTCTTCCCGGGAAGTCCTCCATCCTGGCTGTCGTGGCTAACTTGCCGGGACACATACGTTATTCGGGATCCGTCCGTGCCGGTACGTCTGTGCTGGTCCGTGCTGGTACGTCCCTTCAGGGCCCATCTTTGCTGGTATGTATGTGCTAATACGTCTCCCGGGGTAGCCAACCCTCCTACCTGGTCGACATGGGTGATGAGATGAATCGTTTCCTCCTTCCCGGAACGAGTGTTCCCGGGAAGGCCTCCTTCCTGGATGTCGTGGTTAAGTTGCCGGGACACATACTATATTTGGGATCCGTCCGTGCCGGTACGTCTGTGTTGGTCCATGCTGGTACGTATGTGCCGGTATGTCCCTTCAGGGCCCATCTTTGCTGGTACGTCTGTGCTGATACGTCTCCCGGGGTAGCCAACCCTCCTAACTGGTCGACAACGGTGATGAGACGACTCATTCCCTCCTTCCCAGGGCGAGTGTTGCTGGGAGGGCCTCCTTCTTGGCTGCTCAACTTGCCGAGACACGTACTCCCTTCGAGATCCGTCATGCCCTGAGTGTACGTGCATGATGTATGGCACTGAGCATACAAGCGTCTGAGGTGATAGCTCTTAGCATGCTCGACCTCGTGATTGTGCTTTGGAACCACGACCAGGTTGCACACACAATGAACCTACAATTTCAGAAAATTTTGTAGAAATCTCAAATTTATATTTTTATTGTTTGAGGGTTGTCCTTTGTTGAGCGGGTGAGGTATGTGCCCATCTTTGGATGAGGCTTCGAATCGAGGAGAAGTCTGTTGCTCGTGAGGGAGACCCTCAACCACCGCTGTCGCTCGAGCTGCCTCCATCCATGGCCGTCGCCGGACGGAGTTGAAGGTGAAGCCCTCGCCGCCGCGTTGCTGCCCTGGAGTGGATGGGTCCCTGTCGCTGAGGTCGGTCGAAAAGAGCTCGTGTAGTCCTCGGTTCGTACGGACAGAGGAGATAGAGAGCGATGGCAAGGCTCCGTCTGCGTCACGTGTGAGACCCGCTCGTCAATCCCAGGAACCTCAAACGGCCATTAATGGCGGAAATTGGACGGGATGGCAGAACTTCCGGTAGTAGGTGAGGCAAGGTCTGTATCCGCCGTTGCTCAGTTCTCCCGGTCGTTCGTCGCTCGGGTTCTCCTTGGTTCGGCCTTGGTGGCTGCGTATCCTTTGGACCTAATCTGGAAAATTTCATATCTGATTTTTTCTCGAATCTCTACCGGTTCCTACCGAAAAATGAGAGATAGCTCTCAATGAAAGCACCAATGTTGGTAGAAAATATCTCGGGTAGAGAAACTAGCAGCATTTCAGTTTAGTAAAATAGCGTAGAGAATACATGGAGGGTTGATGGCCTATTTATAGGCATCCATCATAAGTCCAAAGTCAATCTACATGAGCTTGGCCCATATTAATAATACATCTCCAAGCTAATGGATGAACCGACCCGATAAATAAGTAAATGAGCAAGGGGCGACTCCCGCTCGTGAGACTGCATCCTGGGCCTAGTTGGACCTAAGCTCGGAGATAACGGGCCGATGGCACTGGGCCTGGCCCATTATCTCAACAGTCTCAAAAAAGCCAGACAGTTCTTTATCAGACGGAGAAAGTATTACATGAGTTACTTAGCGTCTTATTTAGTTTTTGATAAAATAATTTGAAATCCCTAACAATATACGTAGAAGTTATGTCTAAATTCCTTTGTTCTTGATAAAATGTGTCAAAGCTCTGAAAAAATCATCCATTCTCATAAAATGTGTCAAGGCGAAAAAAGTTATAGATTGAAATGGATTTGAATATTGCACCTAATTTGATCTCAATATAAACAATTCCTTAGCATTAATCTTAAATAGTTTTCCCAATTTGTTTATCTTAATTAATAATTTTTTGGTAGAATTTAAAAAGATACAATGAGTGTTACATGATTAAACTAAAGATAGTCGAAAAATATAACGTTTAATACCGAGTGATCATAATAATAGATCTAATGACCATGATCAAGTTCACTTTTACATGAATCTCGACATTATAATTACAATAATTGCGATCACAATTTTATTTATAAATCTTTTTACTATGAGGGAAGTACGTTCGCAAAGCCGCAATAAAGGGACGGAACTATGCATAAGCGTAATGGGGCCTTGGCCCCCTGACATTTGATTTTTTAATACTATTAGTATATTAGTAATAAAGGATTTTACACATAGTTAAAGTTTTTCTCCATCCAACACTAGTGAGCAAAAGGTGACATCCGGCCTCATGGCAAATAAATCTACCATTTAAGAGAAATTTGCGTCAAAAAATTGTAAATGCATATATAATACTATCGTAGCACCTAATTTGCATTTATTCGCTCAATTTCATTAGCAAGTGACCCCTCATTTTTTACATTTCATTACATTTTATCTTGTAAAATATTTTGGAACCCGTTGTATGGTCATTAAAAAAATCCACATTACCCCGTAGTGTTTGCACTATTTTAGAGACGTAAATTCATAATTATTTCATCACAAATGTATTGCATATTATGAGATATGATTAAATCAACGTAAACTTAATTCAAGAATAAACATGGTTACAATTAAACATCAGGATAAGCAGCATATCAATACTTCGGCCGTCCTTTTATCGGACCCTGGCTCCGCCCCTGTCACAATATTTCAAATTACAGCAGGATTCAACTTGGGAAAAATGTAAATTCTGAATCATTTCAAGTTACAGTGGTGCTAATTATTATCATTATTTATCTATACATCTATTTATTTATTGAATGAAAGTGAGCAACGGGCAAGAAAAACCTTTGCCTCTTGCTTCTGATACGATAAGTGGTACTAGAAGAAGGTATAGCAACCTTGCACAATGCAAGCTTAAGGGACTGTTTGAACGAATTGATGGAAATCCCCTTATCCTTGTCGGGACAGAGCAGCAAGATAATGGTCCTAACCCTGCCACCCAAACAAGTCACGTCGGCATGCACCATCACCAACTTTAGTTCTTTGAGTACATTGTTCATCTCCGCGAACAACTCAGGTCGATCATCACAACAGATCGAAACCCTGACGAAATTCACAGCATTGAAGAAGCTTCTTTGTTCGTCATAATCTTGAGCGTCGTCGACGATCACTTGGTCAGTTTCAACTGGAATGTCGGCGAGGACTTTGCTGATTTCTGTTACTTTTCTCTTGAGATCTTTCACATGGTCCACTACGCTTGATAACAAAGTTGCCTTATCCATCTTCAACACACAAATTAAAAATAATAATTAAACATATCATAATAGATCATAGTAGAATACACTTAAAAAAACACTCCGTCCATCACATCCCCAAATAATTATCTTATTTTTCTTTTTTTGGATATCTCAAAATATTTTTCTTGTTTCATTTTTTTGTCAAAAAAATGTGGCCCAACATTTTTGCTTTTTTAGTTTTTCTACTCAAACTTCAACCACATCTTTTACCTTTTCGATTACTTTATTAGAACTTGTGCTAAAGCAAACAAACAATTAATTTGGAATGAAGGGAGTAATAAACTACACATGAAACAGATTATTATCATACTAGAGCAATTCTAACCAGATGAGGCCATAAATTTTGCCTACATGCAAGTGAAAACATCCTCATTATTTACCAATTCAATTTCTTTCACTAATTTTATAAGTAAGATATGAAAATAATTGTGTTAGGAATTATTTTATTATGTCTAATTACATTAGTTATCCTTATATTTGTGTATTTTATTTAGTTATTGGGAATTGGATTTCTTTAGCTCATTTAGTATTTATTATGTATTTCTTTATCAATAATAGGAAAGTGGCATGTCACTTTCCTATAGGTCGGCTCAGTATCTCTCATACTATTTTGGGATATCAAACGCACATATATATGCATCCCAGACAGATTGAGCATGATCACTGATTTTGGCTAAGCATTCCATTGCGTTCATACATTTTTAGAGAGAAGGAAGAGTTGTCGTATCAATATCAGGCCCTATACGCTCATCGCTATCACTTTGGTATTGAATCAAAACTTAAATCTTCTCTATTCTTGTTTTATATATCTGATTGTTGGATAAATAGAGACTTTCAAACTGACATCGCTCTAGAACAATAATGTCACATGTACTCTAACTAATTTAACCTTCAAAAGATTTTCTATTTGAGTAAAGACATATATACATTTTTATGCACATCTATTGTGTATATCAGGGGCGTAGCTAGGGGGTGGCCAACCATGGCCACGGTCCAGCCAAAATTTAAAAAATGTCTATCTTTTTAGTGTAAAAAATTCCGTGTAATTTTTTTTCAAAAGTATTCTTTGTACCGGTCCAGTCCTCTGGCTCCGCCCCTGGACTGTATATTCTTACATACCCCGTACTATGTTTTTTATTTGTTTGATGGTAAAAAGTAATCATACTTTTCATTATCTAATAAACATGTGCCAAGTATGAATGCAAACAACAAATGTTTACGCTAAATTATATTACCTCCATCTCTTTTTATTTAGCCATCTTTGACTTTTTCAGTCAAAGATGATAAACTTTGGTCAATTATTTTAACTAATATATATATATATATGTGTGTGTGTGTGTGAAACTTAGTAAATTTATACTTTTATAATAATATTTTTAGCAAAGAACATTTTCATATCATTTTCATATTATCAATATTCCTGTGTATAAATATATAATCAGTCAATGTTTAACAACATTGACTTGGAAAATAGTATTTGGCTAAATAAAAAGGGACGGAGCGAGTACATTCTTTTTACAAAAAAATGTTTAAAATTAATCTTTCATTGCACAAAACACAAACTTATCTCTTATAGGTTTGTGTATTGAAAATGTAGTATAATTGTGTACTTTCTTTGTCTTGTAACTTTCACTATGTCCTCATCTCATCATATACTTCAGGAGAAAAGAGTCAAATAAGGACTTCTACTATTACGAAATAGTCACATAAGGTCATGTACTCAATAAAGTGTCATATAAGTACCTCTACTTGTATAAAGCAATCAAATGAGTCCTAATGGCTTATTTAACACCTCCTAATCCAGATTTTAGATTACATGACGTTTTTTTGACTTGTATTTCAACCAATCTTAGTTAAATATTCAACATATGTCGTATAATGTATTCTAAAAAGATGGTCAGAAGTACGTTGAAACCGGGATTAAGAGGTGTTGAATAGGTCATTAGGACTCATTTGATTGCTTTTTAGAAGTAGATGTACTTATATGAAACTTTATTGAGTACATGTCTTATGTAACTATTTCATAATAGTAGAAGACCTTATTTGTCCCTTTCTATATATTTCAGTGTGCAACTATCAATTCATTGTTCAACTATCACCATCTATCACCTAGCCTTTTCCTCTTTTAGATAGAAAGTGTCATTGTTTTTTTAATAATGACACATTGGCACTCCATAGCTTCTATATCCTTAAATAAAACAGTCAAGAAAAACAGAGACAAGATAGAACAGAACAGTTAAAGTTTGTGCAACGTGCAATTTCCTTAAAACGTATTCGTTGTCTCTCTCAGTGCCAGGAACGTTGCAACAATCGTTTCCCAGGATATGGTGGCTATGAACAACCGTTTGAGCACACAACTGATTGTTCCGGTAAACGGAAACAAAGACCTAACACTCGGGATTTGTTTAGAAAGCTGGAGGTGGTTTTAAGTCGAAAGCTACGTAAAGACTATGTATGAACGTGTGTTGTTGCAAAGCACCTGTCAGCTTATATATGGATGAATTTGTTGTGTGTTAATAGACCTGAAGTCCTGAACATTATGGAAAGAAACAAAAATTAAATCTTATCTTTGTTAGACAGATTTTCGGACGATATTCATGTCCACAGGGCACCCGCACATGTTAGTCCTGGTTTTTCTTCTCCGTTTTCGGGATTTGGTCGGCACCCCCTACGCGCGAAGAGTATTTTTCCACCTAGGAATTTTAACTCCTTCAAAGAGGGTAACCTTTATAAAGGGGTGAAAATCCCTTGGGTTTTCTGGTGTGGGATTAATCACACTATTGAATTTTGAGAATCAATTTCTCATTCACCCGTTATCCGTTTTGAGTGTACCATATATCGAACCGAAGCATTTAACAACCAAAAGTGGACCCCACTCAAAATACTGCCCATAAATGACCATTTAATGCAATTTTAACGCATCTTTCCAACATATCTAACCAAGTACATGGCTACATCAATATACAAAATTTCCATTTCCATATAATTTAATCGAAAGGACTCATGGGTTATTAGTTTGGGGTTTTTCACGCCAAAGCTATGTGCCCTTACATTTAAGCTTGCATGAATTAATATGTTCTTGCATGAAAATACAATAGCAATAGATGAAATATTCATTTGATATAAAATATTCCTAAACTCAAATTACAGATATATAAAACATATCTTCAAATGTTTAGAATTTGGGACAGTTTATTCTTTGTTAATATCATAGTGACAATCTACTTGAAGGCCCTTTTACCATTTTTGTATACTCACACTCATTCTTTTAGGCAATAGCCCTAATGCTTGGATTTCTATGTTTATTCTGATAGTAAAAACTTTGATAAGGAGTATTATATATTACCTTTGTCTCGTGTAACTTTGCCATTGCATCTTTAGTTTTCTTTTTTATTGTCTCTAAGTCACTTTCTTTTTAATTCAATTAATTTGTGATTTCTATTATTTCTCCATCCTCTATAGAAACCTCAACGATACACTTTTTATGTTATTGTTCCACGTTGTGACGGTCTAACATGACAAAGTTATAAGGGATGAAGTGAGTATATGTATTAGGCCAAAAAAATGTACGTACAGGGATGGATTTATGGGGGGGGGGGGCGACCACCCCCCTTGGACTTTCAAAATTTTCTATTGTATATGTAATATTTTCGTAAAATTTTCATACTTTAATTAGATTCACCCCCCTTAAATTTTAGTTTTAAAAATTAATATATATTCTTACATAATGTAACACTTAATTAGAGATTTAAAAGAAGGAACATCTAAAATAATTTACATAACTTAAATAAATAAACAATAGAACAACTCATTGTTAAAGATTTAAGATACTTACTATGTAAAAATTCTTAGTTTTGTAATGTTTAATTATCTTTATTAGATAACTAGTAAACAATGTTGTAAAATATATATCAAATAATATTAAATACCAGACAAACTAGTTACACAGGTTTTAGATCATGTGAAGCGAATCCAACTTATAAATATTTATTATTGAATAACACAATTCATTTACTTCTTACGTTTTAAAAAGACTTTATTGCATAGATAATAAACTTTAGTTATTTGAGCAAATATAATATTCACTATATATATATATATATATATATATATATATATATATATGAATTAGCAATATAATATTATTCTAAAAATAATAATCTCATACATACTATTGTAATATTAAGAAATCTCCTTGTGACTCATGAACACCCTTCTCGGTAGACAAAAATTGTAATTCAAAAACCAATTCATTATTTCGATAAGATTCATGTAGTTAAACAATGTTCAAGTTATTTTAAAAGTATTGGTGAATGTGTACCTTATAAACTCTATCTTTAAGAGGAAGCGGTCCAGCTCAGCTGGTCGCTGACTCACTCTCCCTTACGGGAGGTCTCGGGTTCGGAACTCAATGGAGTGAGTTTCATCCCTGATTACTCCAGGTCCCCCCAGCCCCCTCCCTCAGACGCCCCCCGGAATAAAAAAAACTATTAAAAAAACTCTTTATCTTTAAATAAAATGTTATATATCCTTTTTTATTTTCAAATTATTTTTCTTTGATTTGCCATTTCTTACGCTTTAATGTAACAATACTTTTTTCTAGAGCACTCCAATTATAAAATTAAAGTTATTTTGCCATTGTCTAAACTTAGAATGTAATATATATATATTTAAATATCATCATGTATGTATTAATGAATTCTTTTGAATAAATATAGTCGCAAAGGCTTACCCTAGCGAAAAAAATTTGCCCCACTACACTAGCAATTTTTTTATCCCGAATACTAGTGGTTTTTTTGACCTCCTACACTAACGAAAATCTTCACCCTTCTTGACTCGAAATTCTGGATCCGTCTCTGTGTACGTGTATTGAGTTCCAAGCTCTGTTCTCAAGCTTTGTATTGAATTTACTTTAATTTGATGAAGACAATTGTTACGCATTATTAAAGTAAATGTCCTCACACCGTAATGGTATGGAATAATGAATATTTATAAGATCATGAGTTACTCCTCCTATCAAGTTGACCTTTTAAGATGGAACTTCAAATTTTAACATGATATCAAGAGATTGTCATCTTTAAACCATATGTCATCTTGTAAGATTTGTTGGAGATGATAGGGCAAGAATATAAATAATAATGTCATCCTTCCTTTTTAGTTATCTTTCCTTTTCAAGATTGTCATCTTTAAACCATATTCTATCATTTTAAGATTTGTCGCATCTTTCCTTTCTAGTCCGTCCAAAAAGATTGTATCATACCAGATTTGGTAAAGTTTATGTGGATATAAATCATTCTTACTTTATTTTTATTTTATCAATTTATTATCGAATTATTAGCTAAATATATCTCCAACTATTATCAAATTCACAAACCCATCTCATACATTCACTTTTATTAAAAAAAGGCTCAAACTTCATTTTTTCTCACAATTACACTTTCAATAGATGAATTAGTAAAAACTAAGAAGAAAATCATATTCATATTTCATATTTTTCACCTCTTTCTAGTTTCAAGTTTACAAATTTGTATTGCTTTTAGAGTTGTCATTGATAAAAATGTGTGATTTTGAAAAAACAAAAAAGAAAAGCATAGTTGTTGAAAGATGAAGTTTGAGTCTTTCTTTTGATAAAAATGAAAGAATGGGATAAATTTGTGAATTTGATGATAGTTTGGAATAAAACAAGCTAATAATCCTTTGTTATCAAACACATGAACTTTTCCACCAAATACGTGACTTTTTATTTCGCGCGTTGAATTGTGTAATAATAAGAAAAAGTAAGATTTGAGTTACTTTTCTGGTTGTATTGACTAAAGTTACTGTAGATGATCATTTTAACTATTTTTCATGTAATTTTTTCTTTATGTTATTAATAAACTATATTTTAAATTTAATTTTTTCATAAATCAACAGAATTAGTCAATGCAGCCAATGCGACCAAAACTTCATAAATTTCAGTAATCACCCGACTCAGCCGATTTCAGTGTTACCAAACGAGCTCTCAGTATTAGTGAGAGTGAGTAGTTATAGTGTAACAGTGCAATATCTTCTAGGGATGGACTCGAGCCGGATTACTCGAACCGAAACCGGCCCCAACCGGCACTGTTCCGGCCCCAACCGGCCCGGTCCACGATTCTGTGGCCGGTTCAGGCCACCCGGCCTGACACTGTAGAGGGGCGGTTCCTGGGCATTGCATTTCATGAACCGGCCTGGCCAGTTCGGGCCTTTTTTTGTTTTTCACATTTTTTAAAAGGTAAATGAGTTGGGCTGGGTGTTTTGGAGGGGTTTGAGGTGTGGGGGTGGGTAGGAAGTAATTAGAAAATTAAAAAAAATAGGATGAACCGGTCCAGTAACCGCCGGGTGAACCGGCCCGATCCGGGCCCGGAGCTACCCGGGCCGGTTTTCGGGCCTCACTTCTCCAAAAAAAGCCCGGTCAGAATCAGACCGAGGCCCGAACCGAACTGAGGCCATGCCTAATATCTTCCCTCGGCATGATAGTACGGTACACATGGGAGAAATGAATTTGGTATATTTCCTGGCTTTTGTTTTCAAAACCAATGGTGAATGGTATATATCTTAAATTAAGTGCTCTTAGTGAAATATGATCAAATGCTTGAATAGTTTTAGAGCGTAAAAAGAAAAAATATTTGTCTAAATTAATAGTTGTATAACACTAACTAATTACTTATGTTCAATATGCTAAAACTCGTACCGTTCAATTAAGCAAATCGTGCATACTCCGAATAATTTATTGTGGAGTATTAATATAGTTCGCCAATAATTCAGTGTAATGATTTTGTGGGGTGCATACATATTAGTAATTCACCAATTTGATTTTTCTTTCATGAGTAAATAGTACTACCTCCGTTCCCATTTTAACTTCCAAATGGGTTTGGCACAAAATTTAAGATAGTGGATATTGTGTGATGGAGAGTTGTGCAGAGGAGAGAGAAATGTGTAAGAAATGTTGTGAACCACAAATTTTTTACCAAAAGGGAAAGTTGAAGTTTTAATTGGAACGGACGAAAAAGAAAAGTTGGAAGTTTATTTAGGAACGGAGGAAGTTCGTATTACTACCTCCGTTCCCATTTTAACTTCCAAATGAGTTTGGCACAAAGTTTAAGATAGTGGATATTGTGTGGTGGAGAGTTGTGCAGAGGAGAGAAAAATGTGTAAGAAATGTTGTGAACCACAAATGCTTTACCAAAAAGGGAAAATGGAAGTTTTAATTGGAACGGACGAAAAAGAAAAGTTGGAAGTTTATTTAGGAACGGGAGAGTAATTGTTTTTATCTTATTATGTTTGGTTTGGATATTTGATTTTTAGAGTATGTTTGATACACAGTGTTTCACTTCCGATTGTTTTAGATTTAAATTATTTATTTCGTGGCTAGCGAATCAGATTCTTCTATATGAGATGATTGAGTATATGTCTATTTTAAGGCTGACAATCGAATCTATTATAAATATCTAGATATTGTCTTTTATGTTTTCTTAACTTTAACTCCCTCCATCCCATATTTAACTTCGATTTTGACCGGGCACGTGTTTTAAGATAGTGAGATTTGTGTGGTGGAGAGTTATGCAGAGGAGAGATAAATGTGTAAGAATGGTTGTGAACCACATATTCTTTACCAAAAAAAAAAGAAGATAAATTTGAGACGAATCGAAAAAGAAAGTACGAAGATAATTTCGATTCAAAGTGTAATGATTGGACAATGGACATGAATAGGTAACTAGGTAAGTAGTACAGTAGGAAGAGATTAACTGAAAGGTTCGGCGGGTACTAGATTGTCCCTCTGACATAATTCGGGCAGATCCGAGATTCCATCACCAATGTAAAAACCACATGCTCATCTCTACTTTGTCGGGGAATCCTATAAATTACCGTATGTACACACGAGGTGATTAAGGACCATTTAGTTTTTTTTTGGCCACACCATTAATTTAGGGATTATTATGTTTATGTGTTTGGACAAATACAAGTATATGTTTGTAGTTTTTGAAATGTTTAGATTAATAATAAAATCATAAACAAATAATAAAAATCATAAAATAATACTATGTAATAAAAGATTTATAAAATATTTTAAAAATAAAAATTAAATTTTTTATTAAAAAAATTAAAAGTTTTAAAATATAAAAAAAGTAAAAAAAATGCCGCCGTCTCTACCACCACCCGCTCGCATCACCGGTGAAAATTTGCTAACATTTTTAGTAATTCCATAATAATAGCAGATTCAATGAAAATTTTGGTTTTAGAAGAGTAAGGATGTTTTTATTTGAACTTTACTTTGCTAGTCTGGTCTAATATGTTTAAGTGTGGTCTGGTCTGAACTGATCTGATCTGGTAAATGTCATGATGAGTCAGTCAAACCAAGGTAATAAAAATTATACCCGTTCACACGAGAGATCCAACCAACACATAAGAGTAGTAATCTCCACGCGTCCGTTGTAAATTTCGATCATAATCAATATTTCAACTTTTTCGCTACTCAAGTGAACTATCTATGTCTGTTGTAAGTATTCCTTTTCCTAACAACACTTGAAACAGTCTAAAAAATCACTTGAATCTGAGTAATGATAATATATATTATCTCCGTCCCGGTGAACTTTGCCAATTCAAGTGCAAAGTATGTGAAAAATAAGAATAATAAAAATTGTGTGTTTGAGATTTGTGCTGTGGAGAGAAATGTGCAGAATCATAAATTACTACCTCTGATCCGTATTAAAGTTCTCACTTTCCTTTTTGGGATGTCCCTTATTTAAGTTCACACTTACATTGTAGGAAACAAAACAGTGCAAAACAGTGCCAAACAATGCACTCCACAGTAAAGTCAAATTTATTTTTTTAATCTGTGTGAAGTCAAACTGAGAACTTTAATAGGGACATGAGAGAGTAGTTGTTTTTATATTTAAGTGACAAAGTTTTTTGGGACAATAAAAAAGGGAAAGTTTGCAAAGTGCAACTTTTTCGGACATGGGAATGTACCTTATTAAAGTGAGGGAGTATAATCCATGTACCTTATCGGACATGGGAATGAGTGTCCTAAGAGTAGCGAGCTGCGCGTTGATTCTGCCTCGGCGGCGTTTCTCGGCTTCGCGGTGGCTCTGTGGACCACTCAATCCACCGCCTGATCTCATCATTCCTATCGCCGTCCCTTCTTCTTCTTCTTCATCAAACGCCGGCGGCCATGAAAGAAAAGCAGCTGCGGCGGCGGAAGGGTAGTCCGGGAATAATGCAGCATTTTCTGCCCACTCAATACTCGACGGATTTTCCATTTTTTCTCGCAATATATATATTTATGCTTCTGATTGATCAGCAGGCGCTGCTCCCTTTTTATACCACGCAAATGATTGAAATCACTTACGGATAGCATTTATCATTAACGAGCGAGTGTGTGATTGGAGATTTGGACGGATATAATTTACTAATCCTTCCTTCCGAAATGATTTAATGATAAGACTAAAAGAATATATATAAGAATAAATATTACTCCGTAATTCAATCGAGTTTTTTCTCAAAAATAATATGTACTAAATAAAAAACCATTTACGAAATTAGGGTCGGGTTAATTTTTTTTCAAGATACTGTTAAAATAAGTGGTAGTTAACTAGAACCGCCGAGCGACTTTCTTCTAAAATCGGGAGCTATGTAGCACCCATACGAGTACACGGAAACGGGTACGAGGATAAGATAAAAAAGAAAAAAGTATGATATGGAAACGGAGTATATCTTAAAAATATTAAAAGTTCTAGGGTGTATTTATAAATATTAAAAACTATTGGGTGTATTTATAATATAAAAAATTACAAGATTTTTGAGCTCGCCTTATTAATGGCATTGAAAATTTTCACATTATCAAGATAGTTAGAAATACATGCATACTTTATCTCATATAAACACTAATCCATATCAAAATATAAATATAACCACTGAGTCATTAATTTACGAAGTAATATAAGAAACGAGTTAAACAACTACAATTTTGAAATTAAAAGTGCAAGTACTCAAAGTTTTTAGATAATGGAGATATAAAACAATACCCTAATAAAAAATTAGAAGTTCTAATACATACTTCCTCTAGAGCTACTAATTTGCATGGATAACATCGCCTTCTAGAAAGATCAAACAATCACCAATTCTGATTCAGCTAGGGAAAGTTGGCAATCACAAGTACCCTTATGCCATCCATGCTTTCAAAGTCATCATCACCAACATTTCACAAATCTTAGAACGAGACGGAGAGAATACTACACTCATAAACTATCGTAAAATTTTACTCCCTCCGTAGTTAAATTAACCCCCCCAAAGTACATTTGACACGGAGATTAAGATATTGCATTATGTAGTGGAGAGTTGTGCAAAAAAAAGATGAATGTGTAAGAATTGCGGTGAATATAATTACAAATTCTTGACTAAAAAGAGAAAGTGAGTTTATTTTGAAACACTAAAAAAGAAAATTTGGAATTTTAATGAGGGAGAGTTTAATATAGTTTCAAAAACTAGAATGAAATAAAATAACATTCAGAGTCAATGGGTCAATTTGTATTATGTAAAAAAGCTTAATACAAAATATACTTAGGAATCAATTTGGGATAAAAGAAATACGTACCTAATTAAGGAGTAAACCGCTATCTATAATTACGATGGATCGGTCAAACAAAAATCGTTATAATGCTGTCCCCTGGACTTGACAATTTTCGAATTTTATTACCTATATTACGAAATACGACAGGACAGTGGATCGGAGGGCAAAGAATCTAAGAAACAAAAAGAAGGGTCCCAGAATTTATACTGCACTGCACTACAACTCTATAAATGACAGAAGGTTGCAGAAGTATAGTTGATCAATGGGTCTCACAGTAAGAATATGCTCCATCTTCCCCAAAAGTTGATCCATGGCTAACCTCGTAGACTCATAGCCTCGTCAGAATTTCAAAAATAGGGTCGAGGTACGATAGATTTTTAAAAAAAATGTATTTGTACACATTTTTCTTATAGACGTTCTTATACATTTGTCTGTGGTGGGTCATTTTTTTTGTCTGTGAACGAGATCCACAAACAAAACTTGTCTTGGATATTTTTTGTCTGTGACAGACAAAACACGCCGATTCACAAACAAAAAATAACATGTCACAAACAAGTGTATGAGAACGTGTATAAGAACGTGTACAAGTAGAATGACTCTAGATTTTTTCATAAATTTGGCAATTTTGGTTTGTGTACACACTTTCCATACACACATACACACTATAAATATTCCCTCCCACTCAATCTTTTTCTTCCTTTTCTTTCTATCTTCATCACCTCCATCTCCAACCCTTACATCTTCATAATCTTGGGCGTCACCTTCAATCTCAAACACCATCTTTCATCTTTATCATTTTCATTATCATTTAATTTCCATCATCAACATTTTCATCTTTTCCAATTCATCTTTCATTTTTAAGATTCGCCGAAGATGGAGAGTCTTCGGAAAATCAATCCGGAGACGATTAATCGTTAAATATTTGTCTGTATTGTATATAAAAATCATTTGTGATTGTATATTAATAAACTTTGTCCATATGAAGAAATAAATTGAAAAAAAATTAATTAAAAGTCATCAGAAAACCACATGAGGTAAAAAGTCACCGGAAAATAAATTTGAGGTGTTGTTTGTATCATTCAAATTGTTGAGCTAGTTTCTTTCATATACAAAAATTATATGGCACAAAAAAGTATAAGTATAGATTTTCTCAAGTGTCATAGACAATTAATGTATGTACACAGACATTGGTTTTTGTGATAGAAACACTGTCATCTCTGCAAAAATAGCACAAAAATCGATGTATGTGTACAAACATTAATTGCCTTCCACAGGTAAAAAATGTTCGGCACAGACAAAAAATATATAATTACATACATTTCTCAAGTGCCACAAACATTCAATGTCTTTGCATAGACATTGACTTTTTACGCCACAAACACAGCCATCTCTGCCTAAAATCCTGACAAATGTTCCCCGGCATTTGCCCCACTGATCTTGGTGGTTTGCTTATCGGGTAAAAAAAACACTGCCATCTCTGCAAAAAAAAAGACACAACAATCAATGTTTGTATACAGACATTAGTTGTCTTCCACAGACAAAAAATGTTTGACAACAACAACAACATCCAAGCCTTAGTCCCAAAAGATATTGGGGTCGGCTAACATGAATCGATACATGATATCACAACCAAAAGGAAAAGAAGGAAAAAAGATAAAAAGATAAGCTATTATGAAAAGATAATATAAAAAAGATGAATATATATAAAAATGATAAAATAAAAAGGCTGCAAATAATGCATATATATATATAAGGATAAAAAAACTAGGAAAAAAAAGATGAGGGAAAAAGATTATCAAGATCACTCCTTCACGTGAATACCCGCCCTCCACTTAGTTCTCTCCAAAGTCATGCCCTCATCCAACCCCAGAAGAAGCATATCACTTCGAACTCCCCTAACCCACGTCTGTTTGGGTCTTCCTCTCCCTCTCTTCCCTGCCTCTTCTCCACACATCTCAACTCGCCTAACAGGTGCATCACTCGGTCTTCTACGCACATGACCAAACCACCGTAGGCGCGACTCCCGCATCTTGTCTTCAATAGGTGCTACTCCCACCCTTTGTCTGATTGTCTCATTCCTCACGCGGTCCTTCCTAGTATGCCCACACATCCAATGCAGCATGCGCATCTCTGCCACACTCATCTTTTGAATGTGACATTGTTTCACCGTCCAACACTCTACGACATACAGTAATGCAGGCCTAATTGATGTCCTATAAAATTTACCCTTCAGTCTAGTCGGCATACCTCGGTCGCATAGAAATCCTGACGCACCCTTCCACTTCATCCACCCTGTTCTGATTCTATGGGATACATCTCCCTCTAACTCACCGTTCTTCTGAATTATGGAGCCCAAGTAACGGAACATATCGCTGACTGGTATCTCCTTACCATCCAGAGTAATTCCGCTATTACCACTACTTCTACCTCCACCAAACTTGCACTCCATGTACTCTGTCTTGCTCCGACTTAGTTTGAAACCCTTATTCTCCAATGTTTGTCGCCATACTTCCAACATTGCTTTAAGACCTGATTGCGTCTCATCAATCAATACAATATCGTCGGCAAACATCATGCACCACAGTATATCATCTTGAATTGACTTCGTAAGTTCATCCATGACTATGGCAAATAAGAAAGGACTCAAGGCCGATCCTTGATGCACTCCGATAGTAATAGGGAACTCTTCAGTCCTCCCTACACTAATACGAACACTTGTAGTACAATACTCATACATATCCATGATGATGCTGATATACTTGCGTGATATGTCTTTCCTAGTTAAGAAAAAATGTTTGACGCAAACAAAAAATCTACAAGCACATACATTTCTCATGCGTCACACATAGTTAATGTTTGTACACACACAAATCATATTAGTTTAATTTTACATACAAACAATTGTTTAAGACAATACATATAATAATAATTCCGGTGACTTTACATCTCCGAATTAATTTTCGGTGATTTTTATTTATAAATTTTATGTTTTATTTCGTCATACAAACAAATATTATCATTATTTAAGAAATCACAAAAATTCTGGTTTGGTTTTCCGGCAACTATCCATCTCCGGCGGATCTTAAAAAATGAAAGATGGAGTGAGAAACATAGAAAATGATAAAGATTAAAATGATAAAGATGAAAGATGGTGATGGAGATGAAGGATGACACAAGATGATGGAAGATGGAGATTGGGTGAAGATGAAAGTGATGAAGATGAGGAATTTGGAAGAGAAAGGGCTACGCACGGCCGTGTGTGCATTGACGCACGCGTTCGTCCAATGAAGAAAACGAACTAGACCTTACTGCCAACCATGCACGCGTGCGTGGCTAGGGACGCACGCGTGCGTCCCTCTTTTTACGCGAATATCTGTCGGACGCACGGACGCCACGCACGCGTGCGTGGGCGCCGTGCGTACCCAAAATTTTTCCTAATTCAACTCAAATTAAGGAAAGATCACCCCCTAACCCTAATTTAAGGGGATGGACTTTAGAGAGCTGATTAAGGACGAAAATTAGAGAGCTTTTCAGCCATGTTTTTCAATTCCTTAGAAGCTGTTCTCTTCACCTGATCTGAATGTTTCTGATCTGAATTTTTTAAGTTCTGATCTGAATTTTTCTGATCTGATCTGATCTAATCTGAATCTTTCTGATCTGATATGAATCTTTCTGATCTGACCTGATCTGATCTAAATCTGTCTGATTTGATCTGAATGTTTCTGATCTGATCTGAATCTGTCTGGTCTGATCTGAATGTTTCTAATATGATCTGAATGTCTCTGATCTGATCTGAATGTTTCTGATCTGATCTGAATCCTTCTGATCTGATCTTAACTT